AGAGGAGCTGCTGCCCATTCTTTATTGGCTGAACTTGACCTTTCAAAGTTTTACAGGCTGATGTCATGAATCATACATCCAGTGCTTTCACACTAAGCTCACAGCAAAGTGCTTCTCAGGAATTGTGTGAACCAAAATCTGTAGAGAATGCAAAATTAAACATCAAATATGTACTTGTACATACACACTGCAAAATTACCAGCGATCCTCAATCCTAAAGTTACAGGTAAACATGTGTACATGTACATGTACATGTATTGGAAAAAGCTTTTCTATTCACAAAGGCTCTAAGAAATAATGGCATGAATCAGTGCATAATACATGTACATGTATGTATGTACATTTGCACTGCTATGTGATAGTCATATCCAGTCAGAAAGGACTGGAAAAATGCCATTCATCAGAAGAGCAGACATACATGTACATGTACAACAGTAAGTTTATACACAATGCAATGAAAATGCCTATACATGTATGCACGTACCCATCTGGTTAAGTGGCCATTAAATTAAGCACACCTTCCCGAGTAATGATCATCTACAGCACTTGAGTGATGGAAATATTAAAGTTTAAATTGAAAATGCAGCGCGCTTGCGGTACCTTAATAACAAATCAGTCATGTACACGCACATATACATCAATTCTGATCAACATTCCCTAACTGCTGGTCAAATTACAGTGCAGGTATACGGGTACATTGCACATCTGAATGAACTGCACTTGGGTTGCAAATGACTGCTTGTAATCACGAGTGATCACTATGTATGCACAATCCATCTAATGGTTTATGCTGAGTGCAGGCATGAAGGAAAGGACAAATTACGGATGGCTCATTGTTTGGTAATTTATCGCCTCTGGCAGATGCTATTTACGGCCAGAAATCTTCTACTTTTCAAGCGGGGAAAAACAATTTGGAAATTTTAGGACTGAATGTTTCACTGAAATTTTGTGGCTGGATCAGCATTTGCCAAAGAGTTCAGTAACTGGCAACATTTGAACAAATGACATTTTCCAAACACTTCCAGCACATTCCACAACAAATTCTGAATATTAGAACATCTGCAGCAGCCTCCCCGGCAGTCTGTAACCATTTACTAAAAATTTCAGCTGAACCCAGAAGTTATGGTTAAGCCTTTTCAATCTCCAACAGAGGGTTTGCATGGCTGCCATCTTGAATGGCAATGTTTTCGTTGCACAGGGCATGCACAAAGGAGGTTTCTCTATGGAACACAACAATTGCCTCCAAGCTGGCTACCAAGCAAACCTCTACATGTATTTGTTTTGGCACCCTAAATACAAAATGATGGCTTTAAAGCATCACACCCATTCTCTAAAACTTTGCTCTGAACTGTTTGCTCTACCCACTTCAATTCAAACATTGTGACTTGACATCTGAAGGTACTGGCTAAAATACACTGGCAAAAATGAAGTGACATAATTTGATAAGCAACACAGTTCATAAAGGAAAACAAAGTAAACACTTTAATCAACATTTCCCTCTGGCTTTTAATCAGACAGACCAAACAGTCGCGGGATGACATGATGCACTTAGAATGAATTATGTGTACTGACAAAAAGGGGAAACACTGTATTGATTGAAAGGCCAGTCGGGGGAAACACAGAGAAATTTAAGTTAGAAATGTTAGCAGAACACCATGGAAGAGCATGAGTGTATAGGTTATTATCACCTCATTCATTACACATGTACATGTAGTACGCCAGACAGGTACATGTACAGTACTTCAATGGGTTTACCAAAGGTCAAAACAGGGGACAAGAGCTTACTTTTTAGAACTTAATTTGACATCAGAAAGCAAACAATCACCAAACTGTGATTAATAACAACATTCGTGCAAGGCAGTCCAGTTTGAGAGAGACAGTTTTTCATGTATGCTTGGAACACTTGTCCTTTTTTAACTATGTCATGAGAAGGCTGCACAACCAATAGTAAATTATCTAAATCTTTCTGCATGAATGTCATTTTAATAAGCTTCAGAGGATTCTGCGCTCAAGTTTGCCAATACAAGGAATAAATTTGCCAGTTCTTTAAAAACTTTTGACTAACAAGAACAGTGGTAGTCAAAAGTCAATTCTACCAACCGCCTTGCAAGAAATCAATTTTTCTGGCTGATAGCAGAAAGCTAACGTCTAATAACAAGTATTTGGTTGCTTTCTGTTTTGTGCAAATTGTATTGCTTTAAATAAACAATAATAAAAAAATGAAAATTGCTGATTCACTTTCCTCTACACGAGTCTGTCCTTGAGTTCTAAATTAAAACATAACGTTTTTGTCCTTTGGATGAGAAAGCAATTTTTAAAGCCTGCCATAATACCCTTACCTGTAGCCACTCAAAAGTGCAAGGTCAAACTAAACAATGCACAATGCCCCTGTAGACACAACTTACGTACACCTAGAGACAGTGGCTACACTGCTCAGTGGCGTACTGATTCAGATCACACCAGATTCTGGTACAGGTACATTTCAATTCAAAGTAGGCCACATATATGTGTAGAATATCTTATTGTTATAGGAGAACTTGTTCATTTTATGCATCTAAATTTAGTAGTACACGTACATGTGCGCTGACCGAAATTTAGTGGTTCTTATCTTTTCTTGTCCTGTTCCACAATACTGTACAAACTTTGGACTCCTTGAACCACTTTGAAAATGCAGAAGTGAAATTTATCACATTTGTTTATAACACACATACATATAACCCCTTCTATAATCCATTCCGCTTTAAAGTCTGAGCACATGCATGACACGTATACATAGTGTTTTAAAAAAAGGTCATTCAGGAAAAAAGCCTGCACAAGAGTCTGTGTAGGGGCCCAACTGATACGACACAGGCCTCACATGCACATCCGAATTGCTTCAGATCATGCATTAGTTTGGGGCACATGCTGTTGGAACACAGAACTGGTTCATTAGCTTGAACTGGGAACTACATACATGACAGACATGTAGTAATGTACATCATGTGTGCACAACACCTTTTCAACAAATTTGGGTGTTTTCCGTGGAGATATCACTCATTTTAGTGCATACCTTAATTGTAAAAAATTATGACATGTGACCCAATTAAATGAGTTTCAAGTCGCTAGAGCAACTGTTGGGTTTCACCTTTGAAACATTCAAAGAAAAATGCACTGCATAAAATCAACTTTTCACTCCAAAGGCTACATTAATAGTTTAGAGTCCTCTAACATGGCACACCTTGACATTTCCCTCAATGCACTGTTGCCAAACACCCCTCACTGGAAAACATCAAATTCAATCAGTTAAACGCTGGTACTATGAAGTCTCCACAGTACATGCTCTTTAACCTTTATGAACAATTTCAGTGTCATGAAATTTATTCCGCATGAAACTCAAACACCGTGGCGTCCGGAAATTGGGAATAAATACAGGAGTGTTCCCAAATGTGTGGTGCACTAGAACAAATCTCAAAAAATCCCTAAGTAACATGTAAGAATTTCTTTTAAGTTGATAAATCCTGGTACCTCCACTCACAAATCCAGCTACAAGTCTGAATTGTTTTTATTTTGGCTGCACATTAAACATGCTAAAAGAGTTTAATCGGGCATAAAGAGACGGGAAGAGTTCGAATATACATGTACTGACAACCTGTCAGACTTGTCTGAAAAAAAAAACTAAAACGTAAGTCAGTAAGTGTTTTCTAAATGCTTCAGAATTTTTTAAACTAAATGTCACTTTTTACATGGAGGCAGGAAAAGACTTTTTAGGAAATGTTATCACTTTCCGACGGCTGTTATTGGTTATAACATTTTAAGGGAAAAATAGTGTTATCCATATATGGAACTCTTTCCCTCAAGTAATTTGCTTTTCATTCTGTAATTACTCCAACACACATAGCGTAGTATTCACCCACGGAAAGCCCTTACAAAGTTTTCCAACTATATTTACAGTACGCAGATACATAATGCACAGCACACATATGCACATGAACGTGTATTGTCAACGAGAACAAGTCGGCGAAGCGTATTTATAACCAAGTTGTATTGTAACTCTGTGGCCAAACTTTGACAACTGGTTGACTGCTTAAAACTTTGAAAGCCTTTTACATGTTAACTAAGAACTCAGTGACCAATATTTATCATCAAAGCAACTTGTTTTTTCAGTGTACGTACCTCGAGTTCTAACTTCAAAATGAGATCGCCGATACTGCCGTCCGAAATGTCAAGTGGACAAATTCCTCTACAATCGTACATTTGTTGACAACGCGTGATCGACGCCGTTTGTTTCTGCGATAACCGTGCAAGCCCGGCACCGGCAGTGCATGCAGTCGAGTCAACACTTTCGCAGGTGGATTGATTAGCGCCCTCTGTAGTTTACCATTTCATTTTTTTGCACCATAAGTTGTAGAATTTTTTATTCAGTTTGCACGTGTATTTTTAATTAATTTATCTTTTTTTAAATAAAAACCTATATTTATTTCAACTGCTCTTTTAATTTGTAAAGCGCATTGAGATTCTGCGCTTTTGCATGCATTAATGTGCTTTATTTATTCTTACATTTAGTTCATTTGTTGGTTTTCGGGAAAGACTGTGAAAGTTTTTCTACAATACTTGTTCACTCCTTCCCTTATTCTCACTGAAAATGAGCTTAAGTTATTGAATTGTTTACCAACAATCCCTGCCTGACTAGAGACTTTAACATTTGTTTTGGGTCACATTCATTCTAACTTCAAGAAATGCACCTAACTGTTCACAAACATGGGAATAACTTTGCAATGATGAAATATTTTTGTGGCTCTTTTTTCTCAACCAGGAAAATCTAACATTTGATTAAATGATTTTTTTTTGGGGGGGGGATCATGTAGTCTTTTTATGGCCAGTGCTCCAAAATTGGCCAAGGAATGTCTACATTTTGAAAGCTTAGTCATTTTTTGTAGGGGGGGTGGCCCCGGAGATCATGGCAGACCATGCCTCAGGTAAATGCCACTCCAGACAGTTGTCGTATGTACAAAGGTCCATATCACTCTTGCAATTTTTATTCCTATTTAAATTTGTACATAGATATTTACACAAAAAAATGAGTAAATATGTACAACCATAAGTAGCATTTCACACATTCATTTTAAATTCAAGGATCTGTTTAAGTCTAATGCCGCATCTACTGGAGCAATTAAAAAACTGAATGCTCTTGAGAGAGGCTATTGGGAAATCCAACAGGTTTCCTTCAAATGACAGTGAATTTCTCTCCTTCAAAGCCTCTCTTTCCGATTCAATACAAGCATGAGGGAAAACAATCAAGTTGGGACACCTCAGCAGGTACAGAAGGCTGCAATAGTATAATTGAACACATTGACTGCTGATGGGTGTATTTGTAGTCACAGGAGTACCAGATTCTGCCACGACAAATACACTTGTAGGAAATGAAAGGCTATTGTAAAGTAAATTGAATTCACTGGCATCACCGCAGAACACGACAAATACGCTGCTGGCAGAGTCGAGGACGTACATCTGTAAAAAGCCCATGTTCAAATAGACACCTGAAAGCTACCTGTTAAATATGTGCGCATGCGTACAATGCTTGGCAAACAGGAATGCCCCTTTGAAATTATGCCCTACAATCAACAGGTTAAGTACTTATTACAGTTGCACTTGATACTTGTTGAAGGTGACAAAACCTACTCTGCCAAATCATTAAACAATACTTTTTCCAATTAATCCTCCACCCTGACACCCTATCTCTGATAACTTCAATTTTCTCCTTACGCAAAGTCACGTCTAAGAATGATGCGTAAGTTAAAATCTTTCCAAAGGCATCCAGCATTTCTCTCCATCAAAGCAAAGGAGAATCTATCCTTGCTTCCAATTTCCATCCCTCCAGTAACATTTCACAAACACCTGTCTGACACTTGCATGCCTCACAAGGGATATCCAAGGTTGCATGGGTACGTACTCGGAGGTGGTTGGATCTCAAATGTGTGAGGATATAAAGCCCAACCTGGAGTGAGGTATGTGATATCACAAAAAAGGGGACAAGAAATGGAGAGTGGCTGCTCATTCCCAAGCTGATCTGCTGGGTCCGGGTCCTTTCCTTGGGTATGACTGAAAAATGGAACAGAAGTGAAAGAAAACACAAATTAAAAACTACAGAAAGCAAAGACAAAAAACAAACAGCCACCTCCCCCCCCAAAAATAACGAAATTATGTTTAGACTGAAATATAAAAACCAATCTCCATGTAAATTAGTATGAGTTCCTTTCCTTGGGGAACAAATTAATGGGGTTTTTTGGTGTTGAGGAGAGGGCAAAAGCATTTTCCAAGGGAATGTGAGAAATTTGAGATTATACTTGTTGGGTGTCGAGCTTAACTGAAATGTTTAAATCTCTTTTTGAGAAAAGGCCCACATCATCCTTCCAAACTTTAGAAAGAAAAAAGGGATAGAATGGCGACTTATCTGTGAACACTTTCACAGAAGATCAGGGTGAAACATTAGGGGCACTCTCCAGCCATAAAAAGACCTACAGCTGTATATCTGAGAATTTATTGATCAAATTTTTGCTTGGAAATCACATTTTTAAAAAGGTTGACAAAAGCAAAAACATGAGGGGGGGTATAATACCCTCGTTCTGCTAGCATGGCTTGTCCATACCTTGGGTTGGAAGTCGTGCAGTGACATCCGTGATGCCTCCTGTCGTAGCATCTCCTCGTAGTCTCTCTCTGCCTGCCTCTCGGCCTCCGTCTCCTTTTGCATGAGCTCCCGCGCCGCCTCCTGACGTTGCTGTCGCTCAGTCAACTGAGGAGAGATAAACAAGGAACAGATTTGTTAAAGTACTGTTGTGTCACAAGCAAAGCTGGCTACGAACATGTTCAATGGATAATAATCCCAACAGGCCTCATAAAATTCTCTCTCCTATTTATGGTCGAGACCCAAGTATTTCACTGGCCCAGCAATGACCTTAAACGAATCAATCGGAATCCCCTCTTTTCCCTCCTTGCCCAATGTAAATAGATACAAAAAAAGATGTGGACCGGCAAAATACAAACATCATCCACCCTTTTGTGCAACATGCCTTTTGCCCATACACCAACACCCTATCCAAGGGTGCTGGCTGGTTGCCTGCCAAAATTCTTTGAGCTGTGATGAGATGGATTTTGTTGGGCCAGTGATCCAGGGGTCAATAGTTCTGTATGCACAACCCATGCACATGGGAAATGTACGTGTGTACATGTACTTGGATCATCATGGCAGTGAGGCCAACATTTTCTGTATTTCAACGGGTGCCCGGCAGAAGGGCATAAGCGCACTTACGCCCTTTCGCTGGGGAGCATGATCACAGCAGAAAAAATGTTCCCGGCAAAAGGGCGTAAGAAATACACTCCCTTTATTTAGTAAAAACAGATATAATTTACTACGAAATCAACCTGGGCTGTACAAAAAGCAACCTTTGAACATCTTATTAAAGGACTTGGGCATTTTTTTTACTTTTTGCCAAGAAATCTTCATATTTCATTAAAATACAAGAGTTGCATACTTTTATCCTTTTCCGCAAAATTTTTTTTGAGGTGATCATGCTTCCCAGCAAAAGGGCCTAAGCGCTTACGCCCTTCTGCCGGGCACATGACGATTTATTGTATTATGATCATAGCACGAAATATTGCAGGGTCAAAGGACAGAAAAAAAAATAAATATTAAAAAAAAAATGAAACTCTAAACTTCCATTTTCCCCTACAATTAACTTATCTAAGGACGAAGGAGAAAACCAACATTGCATTTTGTTCATCATTTTTTCAAACCACTAAAAAACACTGTCAGGAATGAAATGTCAACTGCTTCAATTTATTTTTCTAAAATTGCATAATTTGGAGTTCGTGGGTTTGTAGTCCAACTAATATGCCTGATCTACCCCAGATGATTTGTATTATTCATACAAATGTTGATAAATGAAATTAGCAGTCGACCCCGCATGAGGCAGTAGGTGTACGTGAATAAACAGGCTCCACTGCTACCCTGTTGATTTCATGCCAGGAAATGACAGCCTTGACATCAAATGCACTGCTCCTGTATCTCACCTGAGACTCAACTTCCCTCCTGGTCTCTGCTTTGCGTCGTTCCTCCTCTGCCTTCTCCCGCTGGGTCATCTGCTGTACTAGCTCCATCTCGCGCACCAGCTCTTCCCTCTGCTGTAGGGACTCCTCCTGGCGTCGTCGATTCTCGTCCATGTGGGCGTCAATCTGTGCCTGCTGACCCTGTAGCACCTGTAGGGGGAGACAAGGCCACAGATAAAGGAAAAAAGTACCAGACCACTAATCAGGACCAAAAAAAATACCTTATGCTCTCGTCTGACCCTTGAAAACTGTCCCAGTAGTAAGATTTCAAAGGGAATCAGCAAGTTAGGCCAAGCTGGAATTGTGTCTTTAGGCCTAAATGCATCAGTGGATGCAAAAAAGTGGGCACACATGGACAATAGATGTGGCCAAAGCTCTTGAAGCCTATATTTGGGCGTATTTTGGAAAGTGATGTTCTCCCAACATTCTACACCTATGACCTGGGTTTGAATCCCACCAAAGCTGATGTGCACTCTGTGTTTTCAGTTCAGCCCCTAATCAGGCAGAACTGGGAAAACTTCACAGACACATCATAAAACAAACTGTTCAAAGGTAGCGAAGATTTCATGAAAACCAGAGACATAAATAGTCAGTGAGCTCTTGACATCTTCACACCATTCTCCAAGAGAAACACTCCACAACTATCAGGTGAACTTGTGTTCTCAGCTGCAATATTTGCTTAATTCTAGAGTTTGCTTGAAGGTGTGTGCATAAATCTTCCCTAGTCCTTCGCCAGGGAATGCATTCACTTACATTTGCATGACCCAGGTGGGTCTACTCTTAAGGCTATCGTTTTCAGAATCCGACGCAATTAAAATCTTGAAAGCTCTGTGTGAATTAAAGGACACTTGCCCTGGAAGCTTGTTCAACCAACTACCATTGAACTATAATGTTTAATGACAATGGTCCAAGCGGAAGAAAAGTAGCTCAGACACAGGTCTTAAATTTGTGGAGAAAACAACGGTTATGTTGACGAAATTGGAGCACTCACCTCATGCATCAGTCGTTCCCTTGCCAGGCGTTCCTTCTCCCATTCATGTTCCCTCTTCTGCCATTCCCTGGCTGCTTCGTCCCTGTAGGAAGACCAGACAACAGATGACCAAGATGATAAAAAAAATGAGCCAGTTACAACCTAGGGCTCAATTTAACGGCACTGCTGAGCACACGATTTACGCTAACGCCCCCCCAAACATCGTTTGTCTCTGATCAGACTGATGTTCCGGAATTGATGGGGTAATGCTTTTTTCCCCCCCCTCCTCCAGCGTTGGATTGTACAGACAATTGCAGACACACGCTGTCAAGTCATGGCACTAGACCAGCTTTGTTATGATTATAAGCTGACAACAAACAACTTTGTATCCACAGTCTGCTGTCAATGTTCAATATTGATTTAGTCAGGATCTATCGCCCTGAGTAAAAGATCGAGCAGCCCATAAACACGATGAGGCAGTGTGGCAACAGAGGGCGCTGTTGCAGCTCTCTCAGAGAAAAAAAAAAGATTAACGCTCATGCCTGAAATCGGCGCACGCACTGACCAGAGACGAAAGACTTTTGGGGGGGCCTATCAGTGGCTCCATGTGTTTCATGGAGACTGTAAGCAGGGAGCACAGCACAGAAGAACCGTATTTGGTCCTCAAGGTCATACGTCCCAGATCGATCTCCCTTGAGGCTGCCCTCTCACCCAACTCTATGCTTACTTGTACAGCATATCCAGCTCTGCTTCTCGAGCCTTCTCTAGCTTCAGTTGTTCCTCCACCACCTGCTTCATCCAGGCAGCATCTGCCTTGGCCTTCTCCCTCCTCGTTGTCTGGATCTGCTGCTCCTCACTCTCTTTCTCTACAAGAGCTTCCAGGATCTTCCTATCAAATTCCTGCACGAGAAGTGAAAAGTAGACAGGATATTCAGTATGGTTTACTTTTAATGATACAACTGGCATGTACAAAAAAAATTTATATTTGGTATCAGATGAGTAATGTTTCCCCCTTATTTTCTGATTGATTATTAAGGCAGAGACTTCGGTATTAGTTAACCAAATCACTGGATATTAGCAGGGATGGATTATCCAATATGGGCAGTGCTGTGATTGGCCAGGGTGGGTAGCAAACTATTGAGAATTGCCCCAATTAGCACTGTTGGCACCGTGCTAGGGCTTACAAATGATTCAGGGGCCAATGAAAAATTGGGGACCGACAGAAAATACAAGTTTTTAGTTTTGAAGCTCAGGCATCTCTCTGTGGATTTTCAATTTTTTGAAAGCTTCAGCCCAGTTATGGAAACCAAAGCTCCGGTGCCTACCAGTACTAAGAAACTAGTGTTAGTATCTTGGGTAGAATGGGGTTTACCTCAACAGTGGTGCCTAGGAACTAGGGTTCGGTTACTTTGACCCCGCTCTTCAGTGGACTGTACCACCTTGGCAGCGTTTTGTTTGGACCACATTCAATGTACAGTCAACCTCTTCGTGAAGGGTAGGGATGCGGGCTCATGCTTACCAATGCTTCTTGCACCTCCTTGGCTCTGCGTCTGAGCTGAGCCTTGTACTGTCGGGACAACGCCCGGGCCATCTGGGACTTCTTGCGCTGTTCCTCCATGGCCTGGCGTTCCTCCTCCAGCTTGTCCAGCTCCCACTGTCGCTGCAGGAGGCGATCCTGCTCCTGCTTCAACCGCTCGGCCTGTCGAGGAGAGGCAAGGATAATAAGATGCCAGAGGTGGACTGGGCGTAGGGTATACTACAAACTAGCTGACAAACTGCACAACGTTTATGCTACAGAACTCAGTGCTGTAAGTTTAATGCAGCACTAGAGCCTCATAGGGAATACTACACAAAATATCACCGTTGCTGAAGCAGTACTCAGAGCTATCTTTTAATCAGTGATGAGACATCAGCCACTCTTAATCTGTTGACACCTTCCGCCCAGTTATTGAGCAGATCTTTGCCCTTGCCTATGCCCCAAATCAGATCTATTTGTAAACATGATGATGCTACAGAATTGATGTTTGTGGTGCAGAAGGTGCATACATGCAATGTTATAGAATCAAAGGGGCAACTAGGTGAGATTTCAAAATGGAATTTTGAAATACTTCCCAAGCAATCCCGACAAAATCAACTATGACTAGAATGTTCAGTTCATTGTGCACAGCAAGGTAAGGATCAGCAGCTAAGTTCATGAAATGTGGCGTAACTTTGAACCATGCGTAAGCCTTGAGTCACAAGTTTATGACGTAGCTGCACAATGTACATAAGTTCTTTTTCCCGAAACGTTGCATAGCTGCACCCAGCTTAAATAACATTAAATTTCTGGGATGAGGACAAAACCAGCTTTTATGACGGCTATTCCTTTCCAATAAAACAGCAGTCATCAAACAGTCTTTGAATCACCTCCGCCTGCCAGTTTCGTGAAACTGGCTACTGGGCTTTATATCTCTTATTGAAAGAGCAACATACCAGACTGATTCTTAACAATTTGAAAATAAACTTTTGAAAAATGACCATCCTTAATGCATCAAACTCAAAGAGTTGAAAACAAAGAAAGAGAAAAGAAAATGAAGATAAATTATCAAATCCTGAAATCATTATCCCTTACTGCCGAAGAGGTGTGAAATTACCTCAGCCTCCCTCTGCCGTAGCTCATTCATCTGTTCCTTCAGCTGTTCCGCCAGCTGCTTCTCCTCCCTCAGCTTAGCCTGCTGGGCCTGCCGTTCCTTTTCCAGGGCAGCCTGCCTGTCCTGCTCCATCTCCCTGTATTCCTGCTGCTCTTCTCGGCGGGCCGACTCCAGCTGCTCTCGGTGGGAGTCCACCTGCTCCCCCCAGCCGTGGACAACGTGCTTCTTGTGCATCTCCGACTCGATCTGTAGAAAGGTCGGAGATGCAGGCATTGAATGGTCTGGGCTGAATTTCTTAGTGTTGTTAACAGCATGAAATCTGTGCTCACAATACACAATTACGCTGAAGCTTTGGCACTGATATTTATTTTTTTTTCTTTTGACCTGCTATCCCCAAGGCCAAACTGCCTGGGAGTCTGTACATCTGACACTGCCATTGTTCAATGGGACAAGCTCCAATTGTCTCAACATGGATGGTTTGTTTATCAACAGATTGGGCAGATGGGCGGAAAATCCAGATTTTCACATCTGTTGAACTCTGTTCCAACTGTCAGGGCCAGGGATAAAAAAACTTAAATTCTCAACAAACTTAAAGCAGGCTCCCTACAGTTTTACACACAAAAATGCAATAAGCTCACAAGCATTCGTTCCTATTTTACCTTCCGCAAGTCTGGGTTGTTTTGTCGCCAATGGTCATACAGTCGCTGGTCAGCAATCTGTCCAAATAATCGATGGGGGTCAAGATTAGGTTACCATGGAAACCAAGGACAATTCTGACTGGATGGGTGCTTAAAGAACCTTATGAGCATCCACAGGTGTGGGTACTTTGCTTCATATCCGACAAAAAGGCAAAACGAATAGTTGGAAAAAGGTATTACAGCATATTAATTGGTAACACTTCTATGCAGCACTCTTATTTCCATAGAGCTTAATAACTCCTTTGAATCTCAGAAATCATCTCTAGAAAAATACAGGCCTTCTCCAAGTGACAATAATTCTGACTGTCTCAGCACCTTCAGAGCAAAGACACCAAAAATGTAGGCACCTGTTAAATAGCAGGGCTGCTTTGCTATTCCAAGAGTGAAGATTCACTCCATCTAACAGAAAATGAACAGCAGTGACCAGGAGTGACGGGGGGGGGGCAATTATGAAATACCCACCAAATAATCACCAGAGGGCACCATAGTCAGATCTATAGTCCCACAAACTTGTGTCTGCCTAAAGGCATCTCTTAAATTAACTATTTCTATGGCAACTGTTATATGTAAAAACAAAGTAATGGTAAATGCAGGATTTTCCAGATTTTTAAAAGGGATTTGAAATAAAAACCTGAAATCAGGAAAATACCGATGACAAAAAAAATGGAAATCAGAAAAATCCCTGACAAATCTCGCCCCTGAATGACGCTGTTCAATAGGACTCGCTTCTGTTCTCAAAGGAGTTAGCTCTATATTTGAAAAAGGTACGAAGGTATTTCAACAACTAAGCATCTGTGTCAGTGTACGGCATCGCTGACAGAACAGACCTCGCACTTTTAACTTCTCAAACGGCCAGCAACATACTTCATTTGGAGCATGCACTGTCTGAAAACTGAACTCGTTCATTGTCAGTTCAGGCAGCCGCTGCTGAGCCACTATTTATTGCAACAAGGTCCAGCAGGTCTGTGCACCTGTTGCCCCTTCTTGCATCCCGACAGCTTAAGAATGCTGGTTGATTCAACCACTTAGCACTGCATTTCCACTTCACCTGCTTTCTTTTCTCTTCCTTCTGGCTTTTCAGCTCATCCGTTCTCTCCTTCATCCCTTTGAGCCGCTCGTAGTTCCCCAGGGAGAGTCCTCTCAGCTCGGCTGCATACCTCTCCCTCTCGTCATCCAATAGTTGCTTCAGTTTGTGCCTGCGATTTCTCAGTCTTAATGCTCGCAGCTCACGCTCGTCACGTTTCCTATAAGCATCCATGCTACGTAGTTGTCAAGAAAGTAAATAGCATTTCAACTATTACAAGTGAACATACAAAAATGCACAAAACAAAATGGCTTGTACATTGTAACAATGTTGTACCATCAATATACACTGTAAGTAGTTTGTAAAGGCTGTGAGAAACGGATATATTTACAGTTATGGCAAAGGATATGAGCCTGCAACCTACTCATGAGCACGGGACACAAAATGTGTTAAGCCAATGTTGCAGTTACATAAAAATCCAACTGTTGCAAAAAGCATGGCAACGATGACAGCTTCCAGATTAATTTCATTTGGATTTTTGCCTTGCCTAATGTGTATTGTAACACTGTGTACTCAGTGTTTCCTCCGAAAGCTTGTGAAAAAAACACAAGCATAATCGGGTGGGACTAGAACCCATGACTTCTTGCTTACTAGTGCAGACATCTTACAAAACACATTGGGCAGGGCGAATATTCAAATTAAATCAACATTTCCCCGACACCAATGCATCCTTAGAAGTAACTTCCAGATTGGAATGTGCTCTGATCCAAAATGGAATACAGTCCAATTAAAATGAGGGTTGTGTTGGCAGAGTTTTCCCATCAAAGCCTTGTCGAAAAGGGACTGAAGAACCAACCAAACCATAATTCATAACACTTGAGACTGCAGAATTGGCTTTTTACAACAGTTTTTAAGAGTGCTCGTAATGTTGAGAGTCGACTGTACTCCAATTTCTGATGACTATGGGGCAATTTGATGTATTTCTTTTATTTTGTCTTTTTCTTATTTTTGCCATTTATTTGTTCATTTGTTTGTAATGTTTTAAAGGGCACCTCTAAGAAAAATATGTTTTCTCTAATTTTATCTCTTCAAATAAATATGGAAGCATTCAAATTGAACGCAGTGTCATTTGTCTTCAGAGCACAACTATAACAAGCTAAAAAGGGCTTTTTTCTGTTCATGCCAAGATGTAAATTCTGAATGTAGATTGGGTAATTCGGAGAAAACAGAGATAACGAGAGGAGCCCTCGCCTTTTGTTCGTAGTGGATAAAACCTTGTGCATTCCAAACAATGGTTACATGCATTATTTGGCATGCAAAAGGGTTTATCCACTATGGACACACAGCAAGGGTTCCACTTGTTTTCTCCTAATGACCCAATCTACATCTAGAAGTCGCATCTTGGCATGAACAGAAAAAAAGCCCCCTCTTTAGGTTGTTATAGTTGAGCTCTGAAGACAAATGACACTGCGTTCAATTTGGATGCTTCCATATTCATTTGAACAGATAAAATTGGAGAAAACATGTTTTCCTTAGAGGTGCTCTTACAAACAAATATCACACCTGTTATGAAATGACTGGTCTGACGTCCAGGCTCTTTGTTTGGTGGTCTTGACATCTGAACTTTTGAAATACTGGGCATTGTTGCCCCATTTCTCTCGGAAGTCGGCCTCGTGGGTACGCCGCTGCACCATGGCCCGCTCCTGGATGTTCTTGTACCGACTGGTCCAGTAGGCAGGCATCGTTGGTAAGGCCATTCTGAATAAACACTCAGGATAAACCCAGAGTTGAACTCTGCACTAGGAGAACAAAACCACAACTGGCCAAACGTTCTACCTCCAGACCTCCCTTCACCGATGTCAACTGTACAATGTCGTTTTCTAAGCACAGGAAAGACACAGTTCAACAACAATAGTCAGAAAAACAATAACTGTCTATTGGACATGTCACAAAAATCACAATTTTTGCAAATATGTACTGGTCTATCAAATTATTCAACTTAAAGCATGAAATCTTGTAGGATTTTGCGTACTTAGGTTAAAAAACAATGGAAGAAGTGAAAACTAAAGACATGACAACTGTACTTCCATCAGGGGCTCCTTTCAGGTAAGATAAAACTAAGAGGTATGGTTCTGATAAGAGCTGATGAATGTGTACTCTACGAGTGAGTACACATCAGCAGTTCTTATCAGAACCATACCTCTTCTAAAGAAGATTTATCCACGTGGAGTTACTGCAGGCCCTCTCTTGATGAATAATTTACTTTCTGAATTGTAAGATATATTATTCTGTTGCTTTTCATTTGAATCTGCTTGAAACAAGCCTCCATAGTGCAGTTTTTCTCATTTAAAACAAACAAAATTCTCCCTTCCTTTTCAAGAATTTTACATTCAAATATTCAAATTCGGAAATGATATTCATATATTCGATAATCGTTCGAAAATTTGGATATTTGGCACAGCCCTATGGGTGTACATGTAGTCTACTAATTTAAGCCCTGTTGAAAATAGTGTAAAATCAACATTCTTCAGGGCTGTACTGTATGAATGGAAATGGAAATTTCATGTGCCTGCTATCGATCTCTGTGAGGCAGTAGTCTGATTCGTATGTTAAGTGTGGTCACGGTCAATCTACGTGTACACTGTGTGGGAACTGTTCCCATTGGACTTTTTTCTGCGCCTGCTAACTTACCGTGGCTGCATGGAAATCTTCCGTGACCCTTTTCAGCCTGTTACCTTATACACCATGATCACAGTAAGTTGACAGGGACGTTAGTTTACTGTGTGTTCCCATTGGATTTAATTTTGTAATTCTACAGGAAAGTCGCAGTAAGGTTACCCAAAAAAAGGTCAATGGGAAGTTACACGGCTTTGGGCGTTTTCTTTTGCTGAATCCAATTAAGGCATTAACCCTCCTATGCAAAGATGCATTCTTGACACAGTATTCCTATAAATCAAAATCAGTCAAGTGACATATGGTATTTTAACTGTTTTTGACGGTTACAGCCTGACAGCAAAAGGAGAGTTAAGGATCCCCAGGGCAGTGGTGGGATCCCCATGCTCACTTGAAGAAAAAATTGTCCCAATATAGATGGACATTCTCTCTTTCCAACTGAGGACTAATTTTGTCCTTGAATAAAGGGACTTCTCAAAATACACGGACAGTCTCTGAGTTGTGATGTGTGCCTTTAGTATTACTGAAAGAAAAAGTACCAAAGTCTGCGTTCAGCTATTTTTCAAGTGGCAACCCTAAACTTTCCGAGGCACTATATGTCTTAGGCCTAGGACAATGTTCAACCACATTTTTCAGCCATTCTGCTCTCTGATGGAAACCCAAACACCCATGAACATAATCCTGGCAAGAATTTACACAATCTCACCCTTTGGGCAGCGCATATTGGGGACCAAACAATCTCCTTTTTCAAAAGAAACTGTGGGGGGGGGCACTTTGGTTTTAACAAAATGAGCTGGCCAGAAATTTTGCATTCGTAAAATAGTTAGTCATGTTAGTACTAGGCCTAGACTGCATCCCTCATGTCCCTACTGTACCACTGCACTGGACTCTACAAATTGCCTTTTTGACATTTGGACATGGTTGGGCGACATCTACTAATACTATCGCCCGACCGTGTCCAAATGTTAAAAACAGATAGTCATATAATGTTACTCGGTGTTAGTTAAGTAATATGGAAGAAGACGGTTTTTTTTTTTGCAAAGGCAAAATTTAAAAACCCGTAGGTTTTTACATGTAGGCCTACAACATGTCTTGATGTATATGCAAGTACCACGGCATAACAACAGTTAATGAACACATCAGAGACAAATTTTCAGTTGAATATCTACTTGAACAAAATCATCCAAAAAATGTAAAAAATATTTGGTAATCTTCGGTTCAAGCAAACTTACAAATTTTCCGAAACAACACTGGCATCAGAATTCAAAATATGCCTGCCGACGGTGACCCGGAAAATAAACTGAAGCGGATAACCTGAAAAGGTCAGTATGTTTGTTTGCACAGTTCATGCATTACTATTAAAATTAAAACTGATGACTTGTCAATTTACTCCGCAACAAAGAAATATAAATAACAACATGATAATGAAATTTATTCTAATTTGAAATATTTGTAAATATCTGAAGCTCAAAACACCGCTTACATCAGAATTAATTCTAAAAAATACGAAGAGAGGTCAGCAAGAGAAACCCGGCTGTCTATTTCCGGTCTCTTTCATCCAAGATGGGGCCGAAAGCTCGCAAGGAAGGTTAGAAATTCCTGGAGAAAATCACCATTTATTTCTATCTTAATTGATGAAAATGAAAAATATCAACGTAGCTGATATAGATATGTAATGATATATCATGTGTGTTTGTGGGGTTTCGATACTGTCAGGAGTTTCGTAAATAATTGCCCTTTTTAACACGGCCACGGGTAACAACTATCAACGGTGCATACAGCATGTACAGTAATGCAGTAACGCAAGAGGGCGGCATTGAATGTGCTATTCTGAAACGCATTTTTTTTTTCAGAAATAAAGAATCATAATTGGTTTTGGTTGTAAAAATCATATCTATGAAAGCTTGAGTTAGTATCTTATATATGTACATAAATTTCAGAAAGTTGGATAACAAAGTATATATTTTACAGTTTGCTGTCATCCAGTCACTCTTCAATGATAATGTAATTTTATAATTTTCTTTAGCCTGCTCTGAACGGTTGCCACTTCAACCATGTTCCACATGCTCATCTGCAAACTTTGTCCATTTGCCACTGCCTGTGCCACTTCGCCTGTACCACTTCACCCATGCGGTCGTGCTATTTAGTATCAAGTGTCAACACACACAAGTAGCATCAACAACTTGAGAATATCTTCTAAATATTTTAAAGTAGTTTCATGATATTTTACAGACTCTAACATGTGCCATTGTGTTAGAGAAACAGTGAATTTGTTTCCAGATTCACCTAGGAAAACAGAATTTTTTTGTTATGTATGGGGTCGCCACCTTTCTTTTTCTGCCTTCCGCATGAAAACAAGATGGCAGAGGGTTGGGCTGCACGAGCAGGCCCAACTTTGTCACTCAAATTTCCACACACAAATACCATAATTACATACTGTACATGTAAATTTAATGCATGGAGTGTGATTTGTAGAAGCCTAATTAATGTTGTAAATACATGTATAAACTTTTTGCATAAGCATGCTTGAATAACTTGTTGACTTTCATTGATGCTTGTTGACACTAAATAGCATGACCCCACCTATGTGCCAATTTGCCCAAGGCAAAGTGGCATTCTCTTCCCAAGGCTTATTGAAAATACGACGTATAAACTATGAAGCCACCAACACTCCCAACCTTGCTCCAATTTAAAAAGAAAAAAAGAGAGAAGAAAAAAGAAGTATCCTTGTACATTTACAAAGCAAAGATGAACTCAGCCATGTTTTATTCCATAGATAAAATATTTATGGAGGGAATGCAAGTGACATTTCAATGTCAAGAATACAAATTTTTTCCCAGCAATCAAAAATTTGCATACACTGTAAAATTAAAAGGTACTGAGATTGTTGAATAATGCACCCAAATAAGTATGACCGTGAGTAGGCAGGAAAAATGCCTTCAACTTCCTTAAATTGAAGATTCCTACATGTAAGTTTAGGTTGGGGGCAAGTGACAAATTTCAGTTGATTTTACCTGTTTTGTATATTTCCTTGTGAAAAATACAGTTTGAGACAGGAGAAGGATAGATTGCAAGTTAGACGACAAGGCTAGTGTTAACCCTTGCTGTCTACCCTGTATCTTTGCAGCTCTGCGTAAAACAGGCAAGAAGGGGCCCGCGCAGAATGAGCCTGCAGCAAAGGTGGAGGCCAGAGCCAAGCAGGAGGCTAAGGCCAAGGCCAAGAGTGATGCACTCAAGGTGAGACCTTGGTCCAGACCCTCCTCAAAGACTGGGACGGCCAGAATTGTTAAGGTGCACAAGGGAAAGCATTTTGACAACAGTTCAGTGGGCACTGGCAGAGATCAGGGGGCCCGTAACTCCATTCATACAGCCATTTTGCTCAGAATCTTTTCACAAAGGAAGAAGTCAATAGTATATTCTGTGTTCTTTGACATTTTTAGGTACACCACACCCTGTGTAAAGTAAATAGTACTTTGGTTCTGTTCCCCGTATTTCTGCTAACTCGTTCTAAGCCTTCTATTGGATTATGAATAATCTCGGAGGGTAAAGGCGAACAAGCTTTCCTGTAGTATGGCAGTACTAAATTTCTGAGGAAGCTACAGCAACACAAAAAGTTTCGTATTTCCTCTCCTCCTGAATGAATGTTGTCCAGGCCAAGAAGGCTGCCCTCCGCGGCAACATTGCCACCCGCAAGAGGAAGGTTCGCAAGCAGGTAACCTTCAGACGGCCCAAGACCCTCAAGACTCCCAGGAAGCCCAAGTACCCGCGCAAGAGCGTGCCCAATCGGCCGAAGTAAGTCCCCACATCACCAACCTGGAAAGTTTCAAAGTCATCCACCCTTAGGTTCGAACTTCATGCATCTACATTACTGACTATACCGCTGGCCTACTCCTTTAACTCCCCTCTTGTATTCACTGCAGGCTTGACCAGTTCACCATCATCAAGTACCCTCTGACCACGGAGAGTGCCATGAAGAAGATCGAGGAGAACAACACGCTGGTCTTCATCACCGCCCTCAAGGCCAACAAGTTCCAGATCAAGACAGCCGTCAAGAAGCTGTACGACATTGACGTGGCCAAGGTCAACACACTCATCAGGTCTGGACTGCATGCCGTAGACATTAATGTGCGGAATGGGAGTGGCACTGGAAAGGGGGGTTAGGTCTCAAATTGCTTGTGTTATGCAAAGCTGGTGATGTCAAGCAGCGATGTTTGATATTCTCCTCAGGAACAATTGACCGATGATAGTTTTGTGACCTTGACCTGCAAGATGTTTTTTTAGTGAACTGCCACTGCATTCTCAAAGTGGGCTTCTTAGTTAATACATGAGTCCAGCAACAGCACTCAAAAACCAGTGCAGAATGTTCAAAAATAAACTTGCTCAAGTTTCAGCTCCCCGTATCCTTGGTACATGGGAAGAATCTTATTAAATGTTTACTATTTTCCAAACTTAACTAAAAACTGCACCACGATCTGGTAAAGATGGACCAATCTGGAGTGACAGTGTTCCATCTGTTCAAAGTGGCCCGTTTCTGATTTTCCTAAACCTTTTCTCTGTTCTGTATTCGCGGCAGACCCGATGGGCAGAAGAAGGCCTATGTCAGACTGGCTCCAGACTATGACGCCTTGGACATTGCAAACAAAGTAAGTAGAGGGATTCCACTTCCCCCCCCCCTTGCTAGTCGTCATTGTCGGGATGATGCTGGCTCTTGGGGAAGATTGACAAACCAGAAAGTCCAAATTTTGCAAAGGTTGAAATTTGAAGTCCGGGCATGCACTTTTAACGGACAATAATGTGACCTGTGCCCCCAAATCAACATCTTACATGCAGGGATGGAGCATTTCAAAAGAAGTCTGAGCAGGATTGAAAAATGCTTTGCTTGTATGTGGGAAGACTAGTATCATTCCTATGTGAATGTCCTAATGTGCGACCTGATGTGTGAAACAGATCAAATCCTCATCAAAAAGTACGACAGGCATTACCATAACGTTTTTATTTTCTTCGGTTCTGAACCTTTGTCATTTCTTTTTGTCCATTTTCTTGGTTCAACAGATTGGCATCATCTAAACCACTGGAACATGGCAGTTTCACCTCCTGGGCCATGGGATTTAGAAACCTCCTCAGTTAACTAAAATTTACCTGAAAACGCATGTAAGAGTCATTCAGTAATGTCCCATAGTGTACAATAAACCCACTCACAAGCGGTGGAACGGAAGAAAAGACATTTGTTGACTTGTGTTGATTTAGAGAGTTTTGAATGGTTTAAGATTTGCCGGATGCTCAGTTGAGGAACCCATGCCACAAATAGACAGGAGGCACATTGGTTGATTTTACAAGATTTATTGGTCAAAAACTGTTGTGGCACTGAGAGAATGAGAGACATATCCCAGCTTGTCTTTGCCACCTGTGTTCAGATGACAGATTTGCTTTGCCTTTGCAAAGAGAACTTGCGAGTTTCCTTACACGGTGTATCTGCAAGTTTCATTCAGTTCAGCTACCACACATGCAAAGCTTGAAATCTCACCTGTTATCTCAGCAATTCATGGCATTGAAATTAGCCCGGACAGAAGACCAGGGGTGGGGGACCAAAGATAGTCTGTACATATGTACACGGCAAAGTACACTCATAAAGGTTATATGTAACTGTTGAAGTTGGTTTGTGAGCTTCAACATGTCATTATGTAGTTCCAACTTCGGTGGCCTTTTATTGGGTGAGGGACATGGTTGAAAGGAAGGGTAAAAAAAACCGAGGAGAAAAAAAGCCAGAAGAATGAACATACTTCACTCAAATGACACTTCATTCCTGTACAGAAGTCAAACATGTTTTATTTTTAATTTTTTTTTTGGATCTTTTTTGGAATTTTCATTTACCCCATTTCTATGTGATCTACTGCTGTATGGGAGAGTGCACTGACCAATAAAAAACACCTTTCATGTCTGACAGCCAATCAGCTGTAAGATTTTCCTACCTTTTGTCTGCGATTGGCCGCCTTCATTAGAAATTTCCCAACAGTAATAATTCATTCAAAATCAGATTGGCTTCTACTCTGATGCATTGTTTAAACATTCTTTTCTCATTTACCAATTATCTGATCTACTTCCATTTTCTTTCGACAATAGATAGGAAAATCTTTCAAGTTTGGTTTAAAAAGATATTTAAAACTTAACAGCATTAAATAGAAGTATGAAAAATACATTCAAACTCTCCCAAGAATGGAACACAAAATCTACAGAGACCCAAAAATTAAAAACAGAAAAAAATTGTCACCAGCAATTAATAAATGCTTTATTAATAAGAACATTCCAGTTTAAGTTACAGAAAATGTACAAAAATGACAAAAAAAAAAAGAAAACACCCTTAATATGAAATGGTTAAAAAATGGCCTTTTACACTGTGAAATTAAGTTCTGAACTCTGTACGCTGCTTCTGCCAAACCTATGTTTTCACTAGCTTCTTCCAATAAGATTCCGAGTCTAATTTGTTTAATATCTGAGGGGGGCACTTGGAGAGAACATGTGACACCTGAGCCAATTTGAATATACATGTCACTAATTAGCATAAGTTACTAAAATTTGCATAATCAAATTAGGGAGCTTGACCTCACATGTGACCTCCGACAGTTCCTGTTGGTCCTGACAAATTGCACCAGTAGATGCCGTTTCCATGGCAACCAACCATGAAACGGCTTCAGATTCAATATGCTCATAAAATGGAAAAACCTCCCTACTGACATGAAAGATGCCTGCCACAAAGCATTTCTACACGTTTCTTATTAGTCTCCAATTTCAGCCATGTTCTGGTGTGGTAAGGGGCAGGAACCATACCTAAACACTTGATTTAAAGGAAGTATTGAATTCATGGGGTTTACAGAATTTCAACCTCAATGCAAGAGCCAACATAACACCAAACTTGACGACCTCCTATGTATGTGCTCGCCTCACTCTCAATGTAAGTGGAAGATGTAAAATAGGTTTGGGAGTAACGGGAGGTAGAACAAGTCAAAAAATATCACAATCTATACAATATTGCTTTAAGAAAGATTGCATTCATTAGGGTGCTCATTCATACCTCCTCCTCCACAAGCCCCATCAGAAACATAAGTATGCATTGTCAAAGGAGGACAGTATGAGGGCTCCTGTCCCACCTAAAAGCAACATGGCTGAAATGGAAACAATGTTTCACTGTGGAACCACAAACATTGTTATTTTTCATCACTTCGTGTCCTCCAAATAAATAATTTACTGTTTTCACGACTAAAGTTCATGGGAATCTTTCTTGAACAGTGTACATACTGTGCATAGTTCATGGCCATTTCATTTCCACTGTTGTGTGGTGGAAATGTTCATTTGTCTGTACAAAGGGGAAAGAAAAGGAATTTGATTAGTTAACATGCATTGTTTGATGTGTCTATACGAATAACCATTTTTTACAAAACGAAAATAGGCATTTTATCTTGAACTGACCAGAACAGTTAGAAATGGTTAAGAGATACGACTTTGGCACACATTTCTCTACTGCCAAATATTAAGCTTCAATTGTACACTGAAGGGCGCATAACCTGTAAAAGGTCTCATGATTAAGCAAATTACATCTTTTTTTTTACACATCCAGGCAGCAAAACGACTCTCAAATCAGACAAGCTTAAAACTTCTTTAGGCAGAGAAAATTTACTGGAGGAAATTTCTGAACCAAAACCACACAAAAACAGAAGCCATAAATTTTATACATTAAAAACCACCATGTTCCACAGTAAAACTACCCTTTGAAGGCATCCATCTGATCTTTACCCTCTGACCTGACCTTGAATCAAGCTACCTTAAGAATCACTATAATCTGGTGGTTCAATCCCATGGGGTTGCTGTGCAGGATACCGGTAAATACAGCATTTTGTTTTCCTGTTGGGTATAAGTTATTGGTAACCCACAACGATGTGAAAAGCCAGGAAATTTGCTCATCTGCTCAGCAGCCACCCGGCATTGATCCCTGATTGGAATTACTCTGAATCTACAAGAATCTACGTCTCGTGTTACTCCCCCAAAACTCTTCTTGTATTAAAAAATAATTCTCTTTTTCTTTAAATGCCGTTCTGTAACATTCCGCATGCAGCACACGAACAGCTTGCGGCATGTACAGTGGTAAAAAGTTTGGTTTGTATTTAATGTATATACAGGTATAGATAAAATTAATTTATTATCCATTTCAACATTTTTTCATATTAAAAACAATTTTGAAATGATCTTTTCACATAATATTAGCATTTTTTTAATCTTCCGATTCTTCTTCCACCTTTCTTCAAAGATCTACTTCTGAAATCTAGTCAGCTACACTTTCTTTAAATTTCCGTAAAAAATGTTGACCCGTCACATAAATTTTGGTTTTAAAGTTGGTGTCTGGAGTGGGCGATGTTAAGGTAGCATGAATCAGAGAATTGGTGATTTAAGTGTCCCACTTTCTTGTTTTCCATTCTTTTTTTTTTTAAATCTTTAAACAAATCTGGAAGCACACCGTTCCCAACTGACCACTGTACCAATTATAGGTGTCTACTCAATCTCAAAAGATGGTGACATGGTAAAAAACTGTAAAGATTCACCAAGTCTTGCCTTTTTTTCTTATCTCTCTCTCTCCTTAAGTTTCTTTTTGTTTTTAAATTGTACTGTTGAATTCACACACTAGATCAATCAGGTTAAAGATTAAAATACCCACCCAACCGAACAGCGAAGAAGGAAACCGCCAAAACTTCCAGAGTTGCTTTCCAATTACTTGACAGTGCGATCAAGTGAAAGTGATCCCAGGCAGTCCAATCCAGCTCTCTGCTCAAGCTATATATCTTACAGTTAGCACATTTCATACCACCTGGTTTAAAAAAGTAGCTGCTGATTGGTTGCATCTTGTGAGGCCACACCCACAAAAAGGGTGGTAAAGTAGCTGTGTGTCTGGATTGGTCCACCTGGAATCGACATATTTATGATCACCGGAGTTGTTAACCATTCCATTTTTTTTAATTACTATTCATTATTCAAAAACAAAATTGACTGTACACATGATTTGTTGAAATTTCATTCTAACTTCTACATAAGACATCTGACAAATGTAAACATTATATCTACCATCTACGAGTGCTCTCAAAAAACCACTACATTACACCACACTACGTGTTCGAATATCCTAAAAAATGCTAGAAAATATATCAACCATTCCCAGAAACTAGAATTACAATCAATTATTAATATTATAGATAAAATCAAAACATGGAAGGGAACAAATTCCTTTACAAAAAGTTACTTCAGTGTATTGACATTTTTTTAAAGCATTTACATGCAGAAAATGGAAAAATAGCATTACAATGCATCCATATAGAATTCCCTGAATGTTGTTGTTTTTTTTTCTCCACAAATCTACCAATAGACACTACTCTTAGATTTTTTTAATCGCAGTACAACAGTGGATACCTTAATGTTTATAATATTTATACATAGGAGCCATATATACCGATATACCATGGACCCAAAAGCAAACCAGAAGAAGCAGCGTGCCGCTACACTACTTTTGTTTATACAATTTTTTGGTACTGTTGTCCCTTTTGTTTTTCTTTAAACACTGCAATATAAAAAATATTTTAGGCCGTGTGACTGTTCTGAGTGCTTACATCACGGTTTCCTAGACTGACCGGCTTTCTGCACAGTGTGTTTTGACTGGAAACACTTTGGCAGACAAGCAAGTTGAGCTCCAAGGTTTGGTTTTTATTTTGATCTGTTTTGTTTGCATAACGAAAACTGTTTATGAGGAAAAGCCTTCAGGTGGAGATGAAACTGTAAATTTTTGGTTTTCGTTTTGAACCTGCTTAATCACAGCATTAAGTTTTCTAACAATTTTTTGTTTGTAAACACTGTTCACAAGGATAACAAGAGTTGCCGATTACTTGTGCGAAACCCCCTGAAACCTTGACAGAGGTATGTTACAGTATTGGGAAATTCATTTTGTTTTCAAAATTCCAAACCAGTAATAGTTGCTATGTGCAACAAACGCAGTTTGTTGTTCTCATAGCAACCATAGCAATTTGAAGTCACGAATAGGACCACTTTCCTGTAGTTAAGATGACAGAGTCAAGGCAGATTAACAGATCCGGCAATTTCTACATATGGTGTTCTGTCAATATCCAAAGCCTGTTAATTTCACTGGCTAAAATTGGATTAATAAGGCAAGCACAGTCAAGGCAGCCATGAAAATGAAGGGATGCTTTGCAGAAAATTATTACAACCCTTCTCCCCGCCCCCTTCCCCCCAAAAAGAAAGCCATTTCTACAATCCCGGGTATGGTAGGAAAGTACAGTTGAATTTGATTGTGTAATTTTACAATGGTAATCATTATCTAGGATATGTATAAGACTTGGTTAACTGCCAAGTACAGTGGGCCTAAAAGTGTCTGTTTAATAAATTAAGACGGGAAATACATTTTGGCGACCCGACATCTTCAACTTGCCACAACACTGTGATGTACTGTACAAGATTTAAAACACCAACATTTTTTCCTTTGTTATATTCATTCAGTTCTTCTTTATGATATTCATTCATTTATGATATATTGACAGAGGTAGAGTGAGATCCTGTTTTTTTTTTTATACACGGATACACACACAGGCACACACAAACATCAATGCAACTACTGGAAAAAAGCTACCTCACTTCCACTACGAGGACAAGACGTGGCTAAGGGTCATACCAGCTACGGGGGGGAGGGACGTAATGTGTTCATAAAAACAACCAATTTGTACAGAGAAGTGCATATTATTAAAATGGGCCATATTACAGCGAGTTTTGAGCCAATTTGTTCCACGGATCTTACTTTCCTTTGCACAAACTTCAAACTGAATATATTTTTGTATCCTTTGCAATCAATTTTTGTGGGTTCTTTTTTGGCTTTTGTGAGAAGTAAGTTCTATTGATCTGAGGAAAAATATATAAAATAAGAGAAACGGGCATTTTCTTAGTCTAAATCATCCACCCCCCAAAAAATCTGGCAGTTTAAAAGTCTTAGTATTCTTTGGATGTTTCATACTCTGCTACAGCTTTAAGGCCTTCTTTAATCAATGATCCAAAAACCTGCAATGGATGGATGGAAACTTCGTGTCGGTCTTTCACAGAAGTTTAGAAAACAACACAAATAATATGCCATGCATAGATGCCAGAATATACATAACACAACACAGCCATATCCGGGCAATAACGGATGAGTGAGAAAAAGAAACAGACAAAAAGTTGCAACAAATCTCAAACCATGCAAATACACTGAAGAAAAAAAGTAATTGGCAATTCAATCTCATCTGAAACATTCTCCAGTATTGCTATGTGAAAGTTGGTTTTTTTTTCGGGTTGTAACTGTACAGGGACTTTACAAAATAAAAAATGATTTCTTATCGATGAAAACATATCATGGCAGTCATTTTTGCTTGCTTCAATATAGCGGAGGACTGGTAACGATGCCAAAATAAAAATAAAAATAAAAAATGTGATGTTTTTCCAGTGAATTTCTACCTAATATGACAAACAATATTCAAAATTTCTCTGACATATTTACATGTTCTCCCCCATAAATCCCTTCTCAAAATCTTCAATAGCATACTATAATCCAACGCAGTTGGACCAAACACGGAGAGGTAAAAAAATCAATAAATTCAGTGGAAAAACATCAGACAATTGCTAAGACATATCCCTTTGCGCTGGTGCCGAATTAAGAACATGCTCAGACTGGCATTTCCATGTCAAATAAGCTGCTTTCATTGTGATGAGCACAACCAGCTTTGTATGAGGTGTCTTGCTGTGGATGCCAGGAAACTCTCCTCGCTCCGACATCCGTCAATCATGCAAACCTTGTCCACAGAATAAAGTGTGAGTGCATCGTCTTCACACACTGACTGACACTGGTTAAAGTTTTCAGACATCCACTGACAGCCTTCAGGGGCCCATGCTAAAACAAATAAATAATAACGTGATTGGGTCCAGACATTTGGGGTATTTCAGGACACATCCAATTTCATCGATCTCAGATTGTAAGAATGAGCAAAATGCAAACATCTGCCTCTTTGTTTCAAACACGTAAGGCTGTTCTGAATGCCCCTGTCAATAGAGAGAAATATTTGGCACATACCCAAGAATGAAAACACACACAAAAGTAACCTAGAAACTAAACAAAACTTGCATTAAAAACAAAATATGAAATAAGCAGAACACAACTGCTTACAATTCCTTCCCTTTGTTTCTAAAAACCAGAGCTAAGAGTTGCTGCATTTCTGAACTGAGTTCCCCACTTTGAGAAAAATAAAAAAGCGACAGGCTCACACCTCAGCATAATAACTACTTTTTTAAGTGCTCCTGCAAAGATTACTGAATGTTAAACCAGCTTAAGTTAAAACATGACAAAAAAAATCGCATCAATTATTGATCAATTACATTTTGTTAATTATCTTTGGGATACACCACTGAAATCATTGGCACTCCGGTTTTATACCTTTACAAGACGTATTTAAAACTTACTTCATAATAATATTATATAAACAAATAATCAGATTAAAACTTAAAAAGGTGAAACTTAAAAAAACAAACGAACAAACAAACACAAAAAAAGAGAGAAACTGCCCACACATTTTATCATGTTGGCAGGTATTTCCGGCTACAGGATTACCACTACCAGTACTTGAAATTCTACACAAAAAACCACTACACCCGATATTCACTGCAAACTACCATTTAGTTAGCTTAATGACTACAGCACTACAAATACTAGAGGCTACTTTTTTTCACTTTCAATAACTCAGACAGCTAGATATCATCATTGCGAGCTACAATTCATTGAGCAAAAAATGTCCTTGATTTTTTTTTTCTTTTTCGAAGATCAAAAAGTGACACAATTATTCGTGAATATCTTTAACCATTATCACACAAACGGATAAAAAATGGCCATACCATCAACTTGCACTGTTTTTATTTTTTTTTACCACTTAAATAACCACACAGTGTTTATGTTATTAATTTAGTTTTTAAAAACTTTACTGCACACCCTTTGCCATTTAGCCAAAAAAAAAAAAAAAAGGTTCTGAAGTATTTCCACTCTTTGCGTCATCCCCATCCACTGTCAACTTTGGTCGGCAGCCATCGGTAGAAACACAAATTTAAAGACCTTCAGTGCGCAACCACCATGCTTTAATATATAAAAAGAGGGGGAAAAACCCTTCGTACATGGCACCTGCTCCATGCCACAAATGTATTCTTTTTGCATGCACAACATCTCTTAGTAACACAAATTTTGTTGCTATTATTTTTTTTTCGGCCTTGTTTGCCCATCACTATCGCATGATCATCATTTAAAACCACTTCAGTTTACAATGTCTTGGGGCCAAAAAATTGATAGCTGATGCTCTTGATTGTTCACACACACAGACAAGCACACACACAGGTCGCGTGGATGTCCATTTACATAAGTTCATCTCTGGGACTTTATACAGAGCCAATAAAACATTAAATCTTCCTATTTCATAAAAACTGCCCGCTGGCTGGACAATGTGACAGTGATGAGCAGCTGTAGAACTCACAGTCTACCGGTGAAACCCTGCTGGCAAACTTGCCGATTTTCCACTCTCGGTGAAAATACAATATCCTTTTTTTTTTTCCTTTAGAAGTTTCGTCCGTGGACTAGGGGGTTGTACGTCTGAGTGGTGCCACCGTAAGTCTGCAAAAAGAAACGAATACATAAAAAAAGATCTTAGAAAGTACAGAAGTCAAACCAAACTAAGCAATTACAGAAGAGTAGGCGCATAAATATTTCTGAGCCTTCGCACTTTTCGTCCACAGTAATCAAGAAGAACTATGATTAATGCATGCCACTGACTTGGTGCAGAAAAGTTTCATCATTATGCATGATAGCACCGAGAAAATTGGCACATTTCCAGACTGCATCCACTTCCATGATAGCTCAGTTATAAATAGAGACAAATGGATGTCAATGAAGTCTCATTCTCGAGGCAGAGTTATCAATCCGAGGGCGAGAGAGAGTTTATCTCATCTGGGGTTCCACTACCATTGGTTAACTTTAACCACAGACTCTTTCTTGTGCAATTTACACCTATAAGGCACTATGGATTCCTGATAGAACTGCAGTTGGCAATGTATGGTCACCCAAACCTTGATAGGACACACTGAATGCTAACTCTAGCTCATGCCTGCAAATGGTGCACAGTGCCACTGACCAACTTTCACCACAACCCTATAGCGTTTACATGTATGTACTCAAAAGACAAAAACTAGATACTGGATGGCAATGGCACTTGTGTGTTCTTCAATCACAAGTAGGGTATGGCATAGTACTGCTGATGGAATATGGCATTCATAGTATACACATAACATAATATAGGGAGCGTTATGTTTTGATTCAGCACGTCAGTGTCAAACCACAAACGCATTGGTGTCATCCCTTCCCTCCCAAAGTGTTAGTGTCAAAGTGATTTGGTGTTATGTTACTGCAAAACTGCATGTCACAGGCGACAAGGATGCAAATTATTCAGAAAGAGAAAAAACTGGTTCAAACTCTTGTACAAGAAGCACGGAAAAAAAAAAAACATGTCCCACAACAGTCCCGGGTTTTAGCGGAGGTGCCGTGCATTACTACTTGCCAATCCCAGCAAAGAGTTGCAGTTCATATTCAATCAGACTGAGCTGAAGCTGATTACTCAATAAATAAATACAGTGCTTGGTGTGTAGATTTTTGGAAGAAGGGTAAAAAAATACCAACTAGGAATGTTTACAAATCAATATTCATCACTAAGCAGGTATTGAAAGGCACACTCCGCTCAATCTTATAGAAACAGTAGATGGGCTCCAACAATTCCGCAAAATCCTCAAAATCCCCTGATAGATTTTGAAGGTTCAGGGAGGGTTAGAGTCACTGCTAAGGCTTAAAGTTAAGCACAGAGGATGCATGCATACAGGAACTTTAACAGAAGAGAAAAAAATTAGAAATTGGTGTCGTGGCAAAGCAAAAGTGCAGTGCAAAAACAATAATGGAATTGTACTACGGATGGCAAAGTACGCAAATGACAAAGGAGCAGGGTTACATTGACAGAAGTTGCCACCATAAGAAGGAAGCTGCCAAAATGTAAAGCACTGAAACAACGCAAGTGCAATATAATGAAGACAACCGGCAGAAAAAGGGGTTTGGAAAAGATCAAAATGTCATAGCCAAGACAAGGCAGATGAGAGGACAAAATGAAGACAAACATGCTGCAAACAAAAGCAAACACATGAAGTTTCCGAAGCAAAACTTAACATCAACAGACTGTTCGCACAATGCAAGAGTAGAAACTTAAGACATCAGGACGCTACACACTAAACACAGAAGTGGGACTCGGAAATGCAGGGTGTGGCGGCACAGAGATTTGAGAAAGCAGGACCTCAGTAAAGGGACAGTCTGACAAGGGCAGCAAGGAACATAAAGATAAAAAGTCAGAGAGGTCATTTTCTGCAAGAGTGAAAGGTCAGGTCCAGCTCACTCACCACAAGATTATATGCAAATCAGGACAGATGACAAAAACAGGATTATGAAGCAGCAATGCTAGGGGTCAGAGCAGACAAAGATCACAGCAAAACAAAAGCAAAAAAAAAGGGGGGGTCAAAAGGGTCAAATTTATAGCACACTTAGGCATGCACAAATTGAAAAAGTGAAGAAAAAAAAAAGTGAAAGGCGGTAGACTCGAAGAATGTACAGTGGAAAGTATACCTGAGAGGTGGTGCATTCATTCAACCAATCGGCTAGCTCATTGCATAGTATAACCATTGACATTAGGGAAGTTGGGCGCAATCAGTGCCTGGAGGGGGGAATGGATGGAACAAATAGCAATAACAACATGATGAGCAACAACATTATCCTTCAAGTGGGTCTCCTGGGAGGGAATGCAAGGAGAATATGGGGGGAGGGGTTAAAATATTCAGAAGTCAAAGGGGTGGTATGAAATAAAAGGAGAAAATATTGAAAGTCAAGCTTATTGAAGCACGATGGCCCAAGACTGATGGTGTTTCACGGTACATTTTATTTCTGGTTTCCATGGAAACCAAAATTATCCTCTTTCCCGATGGGCAATAAGCACATGACATGGCAAAACAAGGAAATTTTTTTTCATTTTCTGCTGGTTAAAGTCAGAACTGTCTCTACAAGTGCAGAGGTGATTTCCACCTCTATTTTCCAAAAAAAAACTGCCCAGGTGAACTTTGTAAAGGACACCTCTCTTTTTTTACAAACAGATCTGAACAAGTTTTCACTTCGGGAAGGATTTTGATTTAAGAAACCCATTTCTTCTGAATTGTTGGGGTCATTTTCAGCTGTGCTACCACGGCACTTATAATCAGGCTCTCTTTTTTAAACTCTTCCCAGCTTCAACCTGAGATCCCGTTTCACTGCAATCAACATGTGCATTCGGCAAAGGCAAGCTTTTCCCATAGGAGTATTCCAAAGCCAATTTGGGCCTTCCACATCAATTTTTTTTCTCTCTGGAAAGTGCAATCCACAACCACAAAAAGAAAAATTATGAATAAATCCATTTAAATACATTTGACAAAATACGGGCTGTTTTGACTGCTCGCATAAGATTCTTTTTTCAGGAAAAATGAATACAATTCAACTTATTTAAGTTGGCGAGAGTGTGCTGAGGTTTTGCAAATGGACTTGCACAACGGTGCATTTTTAAGAACCAAGCCATTATGACTGGGAGCAGGGACAGTGTTTTTAGAGCCAACTGAATGAGAGGACGGGGGGAGAGAAAAAAGGAGTATTTCAGATGATTCGACCACAAAAAAACACCTCCATTGTTACCATGACTTCATATCACATGCACCGCAAAGTACACACTGCAACCAGTTCTAGTTTGCTTCTAATTATGGCTGCAATTAAGGAAGCAGTTAACAAATCCAAAATCGCTGTCGCAAAAGTAGGAACTGCACAAATCTTTTCTAGTTACGAATTTCACGGTAACTTTTATTTTGTTCTTCAAGGTTTCACATTTTTTGGTCTGTGGGATAAAAGCAAACGTGGTTAGTGCAGTGCAAGCCAGCTACACACTACCATGAGTGCATAAGACAACAAGAAAATGGAATAAATAACATGTAAATCAAATAAAATAGTCCAAAAAGACGGCAATTAATTAAAAATGGATTATTCTAGTCTAAGGTGTGGTTACAATATCAATATGGAGATAAATATATTCAACAGAATTCTAGTTCACAACACTTGCCAGCCGTTACAAGAAAAAAGTGAAGAGGGGAGAATAAAAACCAAATATAGGTACAATGAATACGACATTACCTTCTAGAATTAAGATGCGAGGACCGAGCGTGAACATTGCAAAAAGGGGGGAATTATCGGGAATGAAGAAAAGAGAAAGAGAGCAGAGATGGCATCAATCCCTCTGTTTGTTTTGGTTGGAACCTTTCTACCTTGTTTTTCTTCTCCTTGTAATTTTTTCTTTTTGGGTTTGTGGGCAAATCCTTCCAAGTTCAACAACGACAATAAATTTCGTCCATTTATTTTTCGGCAAAAGCTACAATTGGAGGGGAAAAAACATTTGGATGTTTGTTTTGCTTTTAGTGTTCATACAAAGGTACCGAACGTTTCAACTATCTCTAGGTTAAGTGAATAAGAGAGGAGACTGCAGGTTTGTGTTTTTGGTTTTGTTTCTGTTTTTTCCGGAGGGGGGATGTATCCTAATCTGATAATACCCTGAAGCAGATTCTTCCTTTTGTGACAATTGAGCAGAAGTTTAGGGTATATTCTCAAGAAGGCAAGAGTCCAATTTCCGGAAAATAAACAATTATGATTCACTTCATTTCATGAAAAACAGGGCAAACCATCCACTACATGCTTCAAGCATCCATCTTTGCAGGGCAAAGGTTACTCAATCTTAACATAAATTGTATTTTCAGGGCAGTACATGTAATCTTGTCCTATTAAACCTTCAGAACTGAACAATTTTTTTGTTACTATTCATTTATTCATTTTTTTACCTGCCCCATCCCGTAGCTGTTTGGTTGTGGGCTGACAGCCGGCACAAAGTTGCTGGTCATCGCATTCTGCTCGGCCTGAGTCGTGGAGACCGCATAGAGGTCCATGGGTCCCGGGCTACTGTTGACGTTGAAACCACTGCGGCTGTTGACTGGGGAGGGGGACGGGGCATAGCTCTGCTGGGCATAGGGGGAGTTCATCACTGCAAAAGGGGCAAGGTTATCAAAACGAGATCGTCAAAAAGGGCGAAAATGACGGTCTGCTCAGGACACTCCCACCAGAAGACTGGTAAATCCTTCTCTCCAAAACGTTAACAGCTGCACTTACTGAATGCTGAGATTTGAATCCTTTGCACATTTTAATGCCTAATGATTTGACGTGGTAAACTCAGGATGGAAACTCAATGGGAAAACATCCTGTGGTATGCAGGCTCACTTCTTATTCCAATAGGAACACTGGTACTTCAAAATGGACTAGATATCTTCTGATTTATATGCTGTCCTAAAGCATCTGCACATTTTCAACCAATGAATTTTTCAAAGCTGTAGGCTGGACAAGAAATTCAACAAACATACCACAGGATTTCCCCTCCCCCCCGAAAAAAAAAACTGAAGAAAAAACTGTCACACTTGGCATTGATGAAGGATGAGGTTTTGTCAGCACACTACTCTCTACTGAAATGATCTATGAGTAACAAAGGAAAGACACGCAAACTACACACACTAAGTGTTAGGACTATAAAAAAAAAAAAAAACAGGAAAAAAGAAATGTCTTGTGGACAACAAACTCGATCAAGCAGGATCGCTAAATCCATGCAAGGTTTGTAACGAATGGGAGATGTTAATGAAGCAGGCTCCGCTGGTTAGGTCATTCCAGAGGTGCGTGAAGATCCTTAAAGACTCTTTTACCCGGACACTCACAATTATTAAAAGCATGGGTATTTTAGTATTCCATTACATCCCAAATGCATGGATATAGGCATCCTTAACTCATACGTATCAATCCCACAGAAAGTACATGGTGAACGTACATGTACATTTCAGTTGAATTTGTATTTGGGTAACCACAACTACGCTGAAGCCATTGGAGGACTGTGCCTTAACCTGACAGTTACTAAGTGGTAGCAATAAAGACAGCTAAAGAGGCACCAATCTTTGCCAAATGTTTCCATGGAAACCATGCAAATTGTGGGAGTGTGTTTATGACATCTGGAGTGGATAGTACTACACTTGAGAAAAAACAACACAGACCTATAAAGGGACTGACCTATCTACATGTTCTGTTGACTTATCTGGGACAAAGAGGAAGGTCTATTTCTTCCTCCGTGTCTGGGACAACACAAGGACTCTACCAATTAGCGATGTCTTTACAATGTGAACCTAGTTACTCTGGCAAAATGGAGTATAACATTTAAGTGATATTTCTTTGCTATGGTTACAATGGTAACTATTGGAGGAAAACCACTGTGTAAGGTTCTTTTGGGGGTAACGTGTGAAAATAAAGGGGTGTCCATTTGTAGTGGTTTGTGTGTCTGTCTGTGATGGTATGTTTTTACAAGGGTGGCATGTCACCACGCGTCATCTCGGTCTAGAGGTTGTACTAGTAGTAGATGCAACATTACCAGCAGCCTGGTGGTACTCCCGGTTGTAGTCGGCCTGCTGGTGCTGAGTCACCGCCGTGCCGCCATCCGTCCGGTTATGCGCGTTGGCCGCTCGCAGGGTCGCGGCAGGCGCCGCGGGCCCCGCCGAGCCGTAGTCCGGGTACGAGTACGGAATGTAGCCGCCGGTGCGGCGTTGGTCCACGGCCGGCTGCAGTCCGTGCGGCATGACCGCATAGCCGCCAGGATAGGCGTGCAAGCCTGGGGAGGCGATACAGACAGACTTGTCAAGCCCTGTCGTCTTCAGGTAGGTCAGCTGTTCATTGGTGTTTTCTGTGAATTGTACACGGGGTTCACATGTTTGGTTTATCACAACTCATCAGTTACACAACTCGGAGGGGTGCTCCTTTTTTCCATGTTTATTTTAAGCAAAAAAATGAAGCTACATGGACACACAACTCAGTGGTCGAGCCCACTGCGATTTCTGTTTGGCAGCATGCATGACATTGAAAAACAAAATTATGATCTGAACTTGTTTTTTTTCTCTCTCTCTTAGGCCTTGACAGTACAAGTGTGCATACAAGGATACACACAGACAAGCCAATAGAAAAACCAACCCACACCCTGCATTAACATCTTATTGGTGTTTAATGAATGTGTCTTAATACTTTAAGTGACAACCTTGGTTGCCTTGGTGACATTAAAGATTATATGCCAGGCAGGCAGCTTTCTGAAGCAATATGAAACGTGCCGTTGAATAAATCATTCAGGAATTAAACAGCATCATTTCTATTCTTCCATATGGCTTGAAGTACCAATCACACCACTTTCTTCAGACGACTTTTATACATTCCAGGAAACTATTTTTCTGTCTTGTCATTCAGTAAGTAAATAGGTTCAACGTGGACAATTTGACCGCCCATTTCTCTTAACCAATGCAGATGCAAATGAAACCCCATTCAGAGGAGTCAAACACCGTCTCCACATCATTACAGAAATATACCCATAACTCTACAACTTAAGAGTTTATCATATATGGGACTTTCCCAGCTAAATTCCAACCGCAGATTTTCCATGGCCCCAGAAACATTTAATCCAACTGATCTGACCATGTGCGCACAAATAGAGGAAGTAGGAAAACTATCCCTTTTTCTAAATTTAACAAAGCAAAAAAAAATATTTCAGAACAACCGTACACTGCTATACAAATGTTCAGGACACAAATAAAGCAAAACACATCTGTACATCAAATAAAAAATTCAAGAATTCTCAACTGATGCCACATCAAGTCCACAGGGTGACATAATCAGTTTTGGCCTTTTGGTACCACAATTTGGAAATGCAGGACTACACTTTAAGCCAAGCTACTTTTCAACAGTACCGTACAAACAACAAAAAATTGCCACTCGCAGCTGTGTTCAAGTACAAATTGGTAGGGTAGGATCTTAAATTAAATTGAACTGTTCCAAAACTTTCCCTCTCATGCTCAACAGACGGGAAGGCATATTAATGATTAACTGGTGTATATATGCCATGTAGCCATGTATACATACGAGCACTGAATGAAGGTCTGGGTATTAATGTTGACAATAGAGTACCGAAGTGTGACGTCACTGTGAACCAGAAAGTGTAGTGCAAACAAATGGCGTACGCGTGCGTGTTGGTTCGCGCGCTGATTCTCGCTGTAATGCCTTTTACACGCACAATTATGCGCGTGACGTAGTCACTTCAGTACTCTATTAATGTTGACAATTATACACTTCCAACAGCTAACGTTTCTCGATCTATTCAATGAAACAGTCAATTGAGCAGCAAATAAGATTTGCCACGTTCTGCAACAAGTTGATCTAGTGTCTACCGGAAATCACAACGATTCATTGTTCAATGCAGTCCTTAACTAAGACAAAAGTACTGAGGCATCTTCTGTGCTTGAAGGAAAATGTTAGCAGTACAGCTCAGTAAACACAGTGCAGGTTTAAACACCACCAGCGGAAAAGGATATTAAACAAAAAATGACAAATGGCAGCCATGTTCCCTTCAACGTTTCTAACCGGTGAGACAGCCTGCACAGAGGCTGTCAGCTCACACTGACTGACAATTCCTGACGACCATGGCAGCAATTGTGGAAACACCCAAAGACATCTGTCCAGTCAGATGGCTTTCTCCCCCAATGTATGAATATTGATGAACCGCCACAACACAAGTACAAAACATTCTAACCAATCAGTGTTCAGCAAAGCTGCCCCATAGGTGATGGCAATAGCAATGAGCAAGGGATGAAAGCCTAGTCAACTGACAAAACCATGCAGACATACTAATGTCACTCGTCAGTGTGTTAGATTTTGGGGGGTGGAGAGAACACAGACATCCCCCTCCCCAATTGAGAAGTATTGTGAGTTTGTAAGAAGAGAAAGCCCGCTGGGCAAGACAGTGGGCAGAAATTCAACATTTAACAAAACATGACAGAACTGGGCTTATGTTATTCACATTCCATGCAGTGAAATCATGTATGCAGTAATGCCAGCAATGTCATTTCTCTTTTCCAACAGCTGTACAATTATCATAGCATTTCCTCAAATTCCATAAAATTGTCCCAGATGGAGGTTTACAAGCCTTTCTAGATGTGCAGATGAAGTTCTGAATGGGAATCTATGAGGTATTTTGCATTATCCCTTTTTTGCAGGACCAAAGAACACCAAAACCATACCGCATTTCCTCCAACTGATTTTCACTAATTTGGAGCAAAAACAAGACCCGACCCCCCCAAAAAAACTCCAGAAACAACCACATCCAAGCAATGTCCCCTAGAGAAACCCCCCCACCACCACCACCACTGTTCCTCTGCCCACATCTCCTTTCCACTTCCCCTCTTCCTTCCCCACCAAAAGTATCAGCGTTAATACTGTTTAAGGAGAGTGAAGCTGGATTAAGAAGTTGGTCATTCCAAGAGCAAAGCACGATGCAGTTAGGCATGATGACAGGCCACACCACGTGAAAGAATCACACACGACATCACAGGGTTCTCCCGAACGCAAAGCAAATTTCATGACGCCTGGCCCTACTTAACATTCATAAATCTATCCTTGTGCATTCATTATGCTTACTGAATTTGAGGTTTTTGCCATTAATTTGAGACACTTCTCAAATCTAACCGATCTTTCCCAAAGGATCTTACTTCAAATAAAAGAATAATTGTTCCCATTCTTATTTCGTGAGTTAAAAAGGGAGTTTACCCAACTAATCCTTGATACCAGAGGCTGGGTCGCAATAAGGATATCCGGGCTATGGCTTTGGCCTGTGATACACAAAACGATGCCCGTTTCAGATACAGCCTAACACTAAAGATGACAGATCACAGAGGTTCAATGGGAGATTCTTGATATAAGACCAACAGACCTCAACAAAGCACACTTCCCCACTGAAGAAAACAATTCCAGCTATTGAAGCTTTTAAAACTTTCAGGTGGACTTGAATGCTTGTACAGCGCAATGTCAAAGATTCAATTTAAAAGAAACAAAACAGCAAATTTGGGCAACTTTAGCAAAATCCTCGGGGAGAACCCTGTTCAAGACACACGCAACCTGAACACTCTGTATCTTCTTCCATAACCACGGTAACCGTTTACCTGGTGCACTGTGGTAGCTTGCATAGCCACCCCGTCCGGTGGAGCGCCCTCTACTGGCTGGCCCACGCTGGTGTCCGGGGGTAAAGGCCGGCGAGGCCCCGCCAAACCCTGGGCACAAGGATTGTGGTATGCACGCACGTACACCGTGATACAAGTTCAAGGTTCAAGGTTGAAAAAAGGTTGGTTGTCGTGAAGGCAATACACAGTTCACTTTTCAACTTCAGTTTGAACATTTTGTCCTTTTCTTCAAAAGTCATTCCACATGAAAAAAGTTACAGCACACTTGTATACACAAATTGATGTACAAATACACAAGCGAAGAGTACACACCAAAAAGACAATATGAGTGAAACACACAGAATGAACATGTATCGCAGGATCGCTTCCAGGAATTTTTACTTTGTGTTTCTCATCTCCTCTCTCTCTTGTATTTTCCATTTTCAACCCTGTTTGATTTATTTGGGGGAAATCTTCTCTCATCTGGTCAGGCTTTAGGTTTGGGTGAGCCAACTCAATATTCAATTCTCATGCTTTGACAAAAATCCTCCCTGCTCAAGGAGTACGGGCACACGTCAAGGCAAGGACATGCAGATGTGACAGATTCCAATTATTGTCACAAGCAAACCTCGCGGGGGAGAGGGGGATGCTTCTTGGAAAGACTGACATTTACATCACACAATTGAAAGTCACAGAAATGTAATATTAATCATGAACACAGATATGTGAGTTAGATTCGAATGCACACTCCTCGATTCTGAAATACAAAACATCATTTGTAGATCTGATCAACCGTTTCTCCAGCAAACTGGGACCACTTTGAATTAGGTTAACCAGGCGACCATTTATGCATGGAATACATGTTTGATTAGAATGCCAAATACTTTTCTCAGTAAGACATACATGTACACGGACAACACACGAACAAGGCACACCTAAATAACCATTAGCATACACGGGCCACCAAATGTAATAATTTGAAGGGAAAAAAATGGAAAAACCTCAATGCAAAGACCTGAGCTTCTCAGCAAAACTGTTTGGCATAGGGGCATCCTTGAAAAGAGTATCCATCAAAGGACATGCAAGCAACAACCGTTTTCATCACACAGACACCATGTGAATCTTCCTTCCAATAACTACCGGTACATAGCCCAACTGTCTCTCCACCCATCAAGTGTGTGTTTCTATGCCAACAATTCCATGGCAACAAGCCTTAGCAACAGACCTCTCAGGTACATTGTAAGCCAGTGTGAACACTTCCAGCAAAGTCCACTTTCTGATCATCTCTTCGAACCACTTCTTGTCTACTATCGTAATGGCGTAAGGAAAGTTAGTTCCATATTTTTGCAGCAAGAGTACCACTGGTGTCAAATGACATGCAAAGTTTCACTCACCGACAGCCATGAATACATTATATTGCTAACTGGCAATTTTTGCAGGAGAATTTGTTTCATTTCTCAAATTCTGTATATTTTAAACCATGTATCACATTTCTTTCATCCATTTTCCCCGGTCGATTTTTAGCCAGAGACAGGCAATGTCCATTTAATGAGACAAAATGAATTTTCAGCGAAACCATCTCCAACAGCATTTCTTTAAACCACTGTTGAGCTTTATGTGTAACCCAAGCCCCCAACTACAGACAATGCATGTATGAAGCCAACACAGAGCTGTATATCCACCATCAAGACTGAATTTAAAATCGTTCATCACTTTTAACACATCTCTCCAACGAAAAAGGCGCAAGATACATCACACAACGACCAAGGCTTTTTCCCCTCCACTTTTGCAGCAGCATCAAATCAAATCCTACATAAGTCACAGGAATTCCCCAAATACTTTAAAGTGTCTCCAGACGGTCGCAGATGGACTATCAGTCACTAATCCTTGAAGATTACATTTGAAGAAAACAGGAGATTTATTTATTCAGACAGAGTACACTGCCAATCACACGGCAAGGATTGCTTCTTTACAGGTAAAATACCACTGGGTCTTGACTCACAATGGAAAGAGAAACCATTCTCCGCTGAATCACAGGGAGGAATTTAAAGTGGCTATATGTATGCATCGAGTATTCAAGTAAAGCGTTTTCGTGTTTAATATGGAAAACTGGTCCATTTCAGAAAAAAAAGCATACCATTAAATCCTTGTGCACTTCTTAGACTCACTTTTACATGAGTAGTTTTCCCCAAAAGGATTTTTAAATGATCCGAGTCTTCAGTGTAAAGCTTCAATTCAAACCAACAGAGTGAAAACAACTACATTCTAAACACTACAAGCCCAAGGAAGGGTTTTTTCTAATTCGCTACTCAGCTACCATGGTAATGGTTACTAAGGCTGACAAACGCTCTGAGCCAATCAGGTGACAAGTCATGCAACATATGCAAATGATAAGTGAAGCGTGACAAGAATTTCTGAGCAGGATTCCAAAACACTGAGACACACATTTTCTTGATGAACAAAGGTTTGGGTTCAATATCACTTGAAACATTCTATTTTTGTAATGTAATTTTCAAAATCACTTGTCTGAAAAAACATGGGCCAACATGCAAATATGCTGAACTTCTGCTTTTTGAAAACTCACGTCGGGCAGAGCAGTTCCTTCTTTTTCTCAATGTAATGGAATCACTGGTATATTATGATGTGACATTGGCAAAGGTCCAAAAGACAAACTAGACAGGTTTCAAAAATGAGAACTTACCACTAAAGTACGGGGTGAAGGGAGGGTAGGCAGGAATCGACCGACCGAATGCAAAATTGGCTGGATAACCTGTATCGAGAAAAAGGAAAAGAAAAAAACACAAGAAAGAATATGTAACTTAAGGTCAGATCAAAAAATTAAATATGAAATACATACATAACTCTACCCATCATCTCTCTGTACCACATCCTATCTAGCAACACATGTACAAACAGCTAAAAAAAGGCCACAAATTTCTCCCTCCTAGAGAAACACTGATAGACCACAAGTAAAGATATCAACATCATCTTTGCTTCATGCTTTATCGTAACGACAAAGAAAGAAAAAAAACCAAGATGGCAACAAATCTTCCGTGCAACAAAAACTAATTCCACATCCATCAGACATTTGCAGCGAAAAAAAAAAAGGGGAAAGGTTGACCACAGAAGGCAAAACATCTGCCAAAATTTCCTGCCGCTCTGGCAGCTAATTGGCCCGTTGAAGGCAGGATTAGATCCCACAATGAGATCAATGGGTGCCGCAGCGCTTCAAGGCAATACATTTTAGCAATGGGATAACTTAAAGCGAGAGCCTTGTCGAGTAACAACAAAAAATTGATTTTTTTTTTAACACCGGTCGTTAACACTAGACAAACTCCTGCTAAAGCCAACGACTCAACTGCAAACTCAGAAAAAGCTGAACGATGTCAAAACCAAATGCAACAAAAGGCATGATTCTTTCCTTCCTCACAAAAGAAATTACAAGTATTTCTACACATCAAAATGAGATATAAGTTTTGTAGACTGCCACCTTTTACATCTTTTTAAACCACAGTGGCATGACTTAACATGCAAGATTATCTATTAGAAGTCAAATTCCCCCTTTCAACAAGCTCCAAAACAATGAAAAGAAGGTTCTAAGTGACCTTCTTTAAAATGAAGTTGACATGAGCTATTCAAAAAAAAAACCCAGAAGCTTGACAAAAGGGTTGATTTGTTCTGTCTCTATAAGAACCAAAGGCTTAAAGCTTTTTTTTCAACTGTCTCTGACGGCAGTACTATTCTCAAAGACAGTCCAAGGAGTTGTCAAATGTCCCCAAAAACAAGACCACATGACTTCCTCTCAGAAAGAGAGAGCAAAGTTTACACAACACTGCTGCTCTTCCACGTAAAAGGCTCCAACAAGAAAGGCACAGATTTCACATGTTAAACACAAAGTTTTTTCACACGACAAACATACAGCAGAGATGAAAAAACACTTTTGCTTTTCACTCTTATAAAGCTCAACAATGAAATAAAGACCAAAAGGAAAAGATACCTAAAAACACAAGACATTGCCACAGATCGTAAAAGAAGATTACAATCACACAAAACTGTTATGATGACAAGTGCGAAGTTTGATTAGCGTGCTAGAACTTAATGATTGGCTAAGACATCAAGGGAGTCTTGCAAGGACTAGGACTCCATAGTAAAAACAGGAGAAGATTTGCTGAGGTCATCACAACAAATTTACAGTCAAGTAAGTGAGAATCACTGATTACCGAGCTAAACTAAGACTAGTCAACTAGCCCACTGATTTGAAAGATGAGAATAACTGTGTCTTGAACTGAGTGGACAGTGTGATCTCAAACTGGTGCATTTCTGATTGCTCATTTATGAGCTAATTGGTGGGAAAGTAGTGAACTACTGGCCAATTAATTGATGGAATGCTTACTAGACTGATAAATCATTTCAATAAGAAGGTAAGTATTTCATTGAGTGATTGTGTGTTCATAGGGTATGTGATATGTTGTCTGTGATGAATGCTTGGTCTGTGCAGATGTATGAAGGTACATGTAGAAAAGCAAAGATAGTTTTACGACCTTTTGCTGAATTACTGATTGGCGTTGACAGACTGATTAAATGACTGATTGAAATAATTGATTGAATGATACAAGGGCATGGCGTGTTTCACTGAATGATTTGGCGAATGATTTGGATTGAGTGACCAGACACTGATGGTCCACTGTGATCCACTGTGATGATTGGCACAGTGAGCTGACAAATGGCTGGACTGGGATGCCCAGGGCTGTGGGGGACCCACTGGTAGGGACAAATAGCGAAAATGAAGACACACAAAACTGAAAGCCCTGGGCCAGGAACTTGCCTTTGACATTAGGGACAGACTCCAGGAGAATCGGCATGGGAGAAGATAAGCCTATTGAAATAAGACAGGTGTGGGGGGAAATCATGTCACAGTTGTAAGTATAGGGCAATTCCTCCATTGATTAATTTTAAAAAAAAACAATAATAATAATAAAATACATGTAAAACAGGGACGACACAAAATAGACAGTATCTCTCCATTCTATCAATAGTTCCAACATGGAGTTCTCCGTCTGATTTCCTCCTTCCTGTACGCCGAAAAGCTCTTAACACTATTGTCCTAAGAAGCATTTTCATATTATTAAAAAGACAAAGAGAAAGACAGCCTTGATATTTGTCAGAGAGAACTTTCCTTATTTTCTTACACTCTACTTTGATTGAATTTTGAGCCTTAAATACAGTCAACCAAATAACAGAAATGGGTCTGGTGCCCTAATGACCTCAAACTATAAGCATTGTATTTCACATGTGTTTCACCTACATCTTCAGCCAGAAGAGTTGAGAACAAAATGTATTAGAAGAGTTTGTAACCTCAAACAGTAGTAATATAAAGACTGGTTAATGTACAATAGGACAAAGGTCATGGCCTTCGAATAACAACAAACCACATCCATTCTAAAAAGCACGTAGCCGATTACACGTCATTTACAACACCAAAAGCTCGGGAAAAATGCTGCGTTTCTGCTTTAAAGTTAACTGACGCTCACTAAAAAGTTTGAGCCAAGACAACTGTTGACCCTTTCAAGTGGCATTTTATTGCCAAAGATAAAGAGAAAACGAAGGGAGGATTTAATCAGTTTCGTGCAAGGCTTGTTGACACAATCCAAACGCACATCCCATTCAAACAGCCTGTCAGTCAAATACAACTCAACTGAGAGTGCCCCCCCCCACCCCGCAATATTGCTTCGTGGGTTAAGAAAACCGACATCGAGGCAAAGTCGGAGGCTTTACTCTACCCGACTTGATGCCGTTTGGGATTAAAACCAGCCCGTCTGCTCCCCAACAAAAATATCCCTTCAATTAGAAAATGTGGCAGTTGAAAACACCCCTGCAACAGGACTTCCAGTTGTTAACAGCGATTTTTTTTCCCCCCCAACTAGACACTAAGATTCAGGGGTAATAATACTTTTTTACTTGTTCTAACACGAAAAAAAAAAGGTTTGAGTTGCAAAAAATCAAAACAGGTTTCTTATTTCAACCAAAATGCATAAAATAGCATCAAATGAAATAATTCTGAGAAAAGGGATGGGTTCTCACTTGCGTTGGCGCAGGTACCTTGTGCGTAAGGCGTCCACGGCGTAACTGGATCAACAACAAAAGAATGAAACAAAGAACACAAAATAAGTTCTCAGCTTTTCCCCAACTTTTGTGAAATGGCATGGAAACTCAGTTCACTGCATGACCCCACCTCCCATCCCTACCATTTCACTTAAAAACAGTCAGGCACCCCTGACAATGCATCAAGAAAGTCTGGGCACGTTTCGGGGCACAAGACCAATATGGCCCCCATGGCCCAGTGGGGCAGCGGGATTTCAATCCATGACACTCACCATACATGCCATACATGTTCCTCATGAGTGCTGTCCTTTGGCGTAGTTGGTTCTGGGGCATCATGACCTCTTTGGGTTGTGCTTTCTTGGTCTCGACCTATAACCAGAATGGTGGGGAAAAGAGTGACACAAAGTTGCTGCAACTGAGAATCTCATGAAAATAAGGCCTCATGGCTACAGAATGCAGGCTGCAAAGCGATTACATTCTGTGAATGAAAATAAAAACTTCTAGTTTTGGCAAAGCCATGCCAAATAGAAAGTCCATAAATCTTGAATGTTTTTACAAAAGATCTGGAAATCCCAGACAAACCCCGGCCGAGGTTAGGAGGTTCTAAGCTCCACCACAGAGTCAGTGTCCATTCAAAACAATTTACTCACAAAGCAAAATTAAATCGAAATCAAACAGAGACACGACACAAATCAATTCTGTTTTTTAGCAAAAAGCATGAACTTTTAAACAAAGTTAAACATTTTGGAAATTTAACCTAAAATGGGGAGGGAAAAAAAAGGAAAAGTTCTTTACAAACAACCGCCACCTCACCATTTTGTCTTTGACTTCATGGTAGTGCATCTCACAGATTTTGTTCACATCATCCTCAGTTTCCATGACGACAAACCCAAAACCTGCAGGAGGACAAAAAGGGAATGGGGAAAAAAACAATTGGAGCCAGATTATTTTTTTTATCCAAGAGATGTTACACAAGTCACACACAAAAAACAGTTTCACATTTTTTCAATACAAAACACAGTTTGTACAGCCTGTAGCATAAACACTAAAAAATAATGTGCAAAAACCAAAAGTATTTTCTTCCCCAGAAATTTCGTACTGTTGTTACAGAAATTGCCTCATTTTCCTCAGGCAAAATAAATGCATGTATGTATGGTCTGCGGGGAAAAAAAATTCCGTCAAGAAAGGTCTGTTAGAATTCTGAATGGAAAAATGGGTATCTGATCGTTAAGTTAATGAAGTCATGATTTCATTCACAGATAAAATCTTTCCACTCACATGAATCATGCCATCTGGTATCACTTTGACATGAAATTTCACTATTTGAAGTTGGCTGATACTATCAAACATCTCAAGCAATGACAACTGCTACAGGCACTAACATTAACTAAGACTGCAGAACATGTCTGGGCATGTTGTATTAAGTGTCTCTTAGCATCCAAGTTAGGAGATTACATGTCCTCAATGTGAGTATACTGCCCTCAAGTGGCACAAAACTGAAGAGCCAACTATAAAAAATACAAAACAAAAACCTGCACTGAATGATTCACTTGATTTTGAAGCTGTGAGGACTCGAAGTACATGTATTACCATTGGCACAAAAAAAAACCTGAGATAGAGATCATTGTGAGAGCTTAAATCAAGCTGCATTACCTGTGGACCATGGGTAGAATGAATGAATTCCCAGGCAACAGACGTGTCAGACCAAAACTATCACAGCCAACTGTGGCCGGTACGTACCCCAAACTTTATCCATCATTTTATACTCGCAACCACAAGTCTGTTTAGAGAGTATCGGAATACGCTGAGGTGGTGTGGACAAAACCAAATTTCAGCTGGGTCCACACACTGGCCCCGTTCTATCGCGAACCGGCTAGGTCCCATGCGCAGACGGATTCCTTATAGCCCCGCTGGCTACAGAAATATGTACACATGTGGCTCTATTAGTTTACGTGCACATTTTTCGACAGGTTGAATTTACTCTGCACGGAGTGTGGGAGAGGAAAAGGAAGCATTCCGGCGATCTCACAAAAACAGACGGCCATTGTTGTCTCTCTAATGGGGAAGGTAAAGTTTGCTGAAGGACGGCCCAGCCAACAAGACTGGGGATTACATCATTAAGCAGAATCGGTGTTACACTGTTTGAAGGTACAGGCTGAACAAAATTAGAAAGGAAATTGTTGCAGGTAGGAACGTAATGCCTGTCAATTTATTTTGTTAGCTGCATTTACAGCAGACGCGGATGCTGCATGCAGACTTTGTGAGAAAGGCTATTTGCAGTGAATTCTGCAGGTACAGAGCCGCCATATGCTCAAAGCATTTGCATGAGTCATTTTGAATTTGACATTATGTCACTTAACACTTTCAAATTCACTTTAATGCACAGAGCAAACAAATGTCCCCCAATCGTACTAACTTATGACACACATCTACTACTGGGGCCTTGTCAGAAAAAAAAAACACATCAGAGAAAAATGACGCTCATTTCTTGTCAAACACAGACTGTGCATCATTATCATACACTGTTAATTACAAGCTGTTCCACGACACCACGGCAGAAGGCAAGCGGCAGGGAAAAAGCCATGTACGTATCACTCAGTAGAAATGACTGAGGCGTTATTCCACCACCATGTTCCATAAATCGGTGGGTAGGATCAAAAAGAACACATCCATATTCATCAAATTAACCATCAAGTAATATATTCAGAATGACTGGGGGAGTGGTCTTCATGGTCAATTGATCTATTTTGGGTTTCATTTTATCGTACCATGTTCAGAACGGAAAAAAAAACTTTCCAAATGGGTTAAGTTAATTTGGCAACAGTCATAATTTCATCACAGCCATCAATTATTAACCCTTACATTTCCAGTGACGTACATCCGGTATAATGGTCATTAAGTGAAAGCAATGTGCAATTCAGCTATCCATTCGGCGAATCCTTTCCAAACTCCTATTTTTGAAAATGCCAAAATCAAGAAAATTTGAAGGCCGGTTTTTAACAGACCTGATACAGCTACACAGGTTTGCTGTGTAATATTGTAGGAGACATGAAATCTTCGGACTCGGAGGCCATGTAAGAAATCCATGCATGTATTAAAAACCCACAATTCCTTATCCTTTTTGAATACAGTTTTCAGAAGATATCCAAACAAATGGTTAATTTAGATGGCAAATCCAATTCAACCCGTCAATCGGATAATTATCTGGTCTCTATTTTTGGGAGGTGGGAAGGCAGATGCTTTTGTGGCATTTTTCAACAAAAGACAGAGCACTGTGCAAACGAATGGAGTGTGCGCATTACGGACGGGCGTTTACACAAAAAAGTTCCAAATCCAGTTACAGATTTTCTCAAATGTTTAAGTGGAACTGTTCCTTTTAGAGGTTTGACTTTTGATTAACGCAATCTGATGTTCATTTTTATTGTAAATGATGCTTGGAAGATGTAATCTGATTTTCAGAACACTTACCGGCAAATGCTCGGTCATATCAAAGGAATACCATAAATTCATCACTGGAACTTTGTGTCATTTATTTGCGTTGTATGCAATTTGTTGTGTTTAAAGTTTTCAATGACACTGTGGTAAGGGCAGGAGGTTGACACATTTTAACGTTTAAACATTATGGGAAAGTGTTCTAAACATTTTTCAACTGAAATGTAAATGCCCATCCTTGGCGCAAGCATTCATTCACATGCTGGTTCTCACAATAATGCCTTTTACACACATAATAGTGACCATGACATATTCACCTTGATACTCAGCAGACGGGGAGGCATTCTGACTGAAGACTTTTCAACCCAATGAGCAAAGCCTCAAGTCCATTCGTTCACAATCATTTTTGTGCACGTTAACAAATAAGGTGGCTCTTCTGTCCCCCCCCCCACACTCACAAATGCCTCCTCATAAACACGCAAAATTAACAGAGTACATCATGTATTTTGATAACGATGAATAAAAGAAAATTTGTGAAAATGACATCAAGAAAAGCAAATGACTGCGAGTAAAAAGTTTTCCACTGAATCTACCATCTTAAGCACTACAGCACCTACACTGTGACTTAGAGGAAAATGCTGGCAGCTTTGGGCAAAGTTATTCAGCCAAGATGCTGAGAAATTCATGTTGTATTTTTGGTCCCAACCTGGGGGCTCTGTGACGCACGGAAACAACTCCAATACTTATTCATAAATGCATCGAACAATGACTACCTTTGGTACTTTTGAGGCCTCTTTTCCTCGTGCTGTCAAGCACTGAGCCCTATTTTTCAGAGCGATCAACCGCCCTCCTCACCAGCAAGTCATTGAATGGCCAGAACCGATGCCACTGGAAGTGGGCAGGGGGCGGGGCTTGACAAGGAGATCAATATCCCTTCAAAGTGGCCATTGTATTCAATTAAAACACGCGTGATGAGACACACGCTCCATGCAATTAGCGAGGGCCTTGTGTGACCTTCAACAAGGGCACGTGAGAGGCACTCCCAAACCAATATGTTAAGAGCAGAACGTGCACGGTACCGCCGGTCCCTTATTAAAAATTGATATGAAGGCATGCACAAAGGATTGTCCAGCAATATAACCAGGTAATGTTGCCATTTGTCATTCCTGCATCCCCGCCCCCCTTCCTGTATTTCCCATACCGCAAACACTTTTTGTAAAGACTGCCTTGTGCGTCATTGTGATTGTTATTCCGTGAAAGGATCATATTGCATAAATGATCATAACGGGCGACAATCCCCAAAATGTTCCAGCCTCCTGTTAATGTGACGATTTGATTAGTGTGAGTAGACCCAACATGGCAGACGGGACAGTGCGTGTTTGTGGCTCCTGTTTTTATAGGGCCAATCGCTAGACACGAGTAACAGTAAACCTCCAGTCCAATATTTACACACTGGCGATTCAGCGAAAATTGGCAGTTTTCCCAACATTATTGCCCTCCCCCCAGTTCTTATCTATCGGTGGGGAATAATTCAAAAGGAAAACAATACTGTGATTACATCGACAGGGAGATGGGAATGTTTAAACAGGAAGGCAAGTACAGGGAGAGGAAAGACGATTGAACAACCATTTTGGCCACCACACCTCCCCAAAATGGCTGTACAAGACAGGGGCATGCCCGTTTCTTCTGACACAAGACAGGGGCCTTCCCGTGCAGTAGACATAATTCCCGTTCAGATTGATTTTTTTTTCTTTTTTTTTTCTCCTGATGCCTCTGCCCCTGTTTGTTAAACCAGTGCCACGGAAAATCAAGTTACTGCTGTATGAAAAGGCAGAGCACAGCGTCCATTGTGCGAGAACAGAACCGACGAAAATATGAGGTTGTTTTCCCCCCTCTGAGTGCTGAGGTTCATGGTGCGCACTGCTACCGGTGGCTGCTGGGCAATGACCGATGACAAGAGTACCTGCGTGTAGGTCACTGATTATTTCATGGCCTTGACCTTGGAATTTTTTTCCCCAAAGCGTGGGGCAGCTGCACAACTCAAATGCCACATGATCGGCGGCGCACAATGACCGTTTAATGGGGGTAGTTTTTTGTGCGGTAACTCGCTACATAATACTGGCTTGTACAGCTAAGCATTTATTGAAAGGCATAGACATCAGCTGAATTTGCAAGGATGGGGTGAAACCAGGCAACAAAAAACATGTCATTCACAGCCAGCAAGGAAGGTGATGATTTTTGTGATGTGCGTAACGGACTTGAAGTGTGAACAACTGTATGCTTGGAAGTATAAAAAAGTAATCTCGTCTTCGGATTTGTTTGATTTTGTATTTGTCAGATATTTTTCTGTTGAGGTCTGATAAATAATGATAAGATATTCCAGACAAGACAAACAAATTTGTCCCCCAGGCATAATCTTACAGAGTGCCAGGCCAAAAACCTTTGCTTGTCGGTATGCTTTCCT